AACTTAATTGCGTTCATACCTCCGCTGCCTCGGGTAGACTAACTAAAATCAATTATAACATATTTCAAACATACGAGCGAATTCCGTCCTCAGACTCCCTAATAAATTCGCGAAGAGAACATATTACTTAAACTTAATCAAGTTAAGTTGTAAAGTTATTAGGTTTCGTTTGACAATCTTCACGAGTTTGCTCATAGCAGTGTCAATGGTTAGATTTATTGCCGCAATCAAGACGAAAACTCCCGCCGAAATTAGTACAAAGACGCTTCTTAAAGACTTTCTCATCTCCGGGAATGAATATGAAAGTGGCATTGTATGCGAATGTAATAATAATTAATCATCTTCAGCAAATGTTATGATATTAAGTCATTTTACTACGTCACTTGAGCTCCGTAAATGTATACATATATATGTAGCTGACTGTATCTTCTGGTTACGGTGAGATGCTAACGATCAAATATCTACATCAGATCCATCAGTTCTCTTTGACGATTCAGTCTGTACCATCTACGTGGAACTGTAAACTGCAAAGTAATCCAATGCAGTGACAAGCGAATACAATGCGAATCATCAGTCGGAGTTAAAACTAAACGTAAATCATCCACTTTAGCGTTAAAGCAAATCTTAAATGGAACTGTTCGTGATGTTTGTCACATATCTGCCGAAATATTGGCTAAGCTTACCACTGAGTGTAGCTACAAAAATAACAGGATTATGATACTTAGGAAGGAACGGTTAATGTAGGCTAATAAATATGTTACAGAAGTTTATATCGATTTATTAATCAGTTCCCGCTATTCACGTGCAAATGATTATGCTTTAAACACTTTGCAATTTGTTATTCATTTCAATATTAAATTCGTTAATAGAATTGCCCAGATGACTGAAACCTACTAGATTGATTAGCAATTACATTTGAATGGAAACATTTATTGCAAAATAACGGAAAAACGACACCAAAAACTTTTTAAACTCTATAATTCAATAGTAAATGATGGTTTAAATGCTTTGGGTTAATATATTAACACATTTTAAATTCACGATAATCCTAAAGTTTCCTAGCAACAGCAATTCACAAAAGCATGTGACATAATCAAATTGTATCGCACCAACGTTATGGGCGGAACCAGTGAACTCGAAATAATAATCCCATACGACAACTAGTGATATCTCCGAAATCATAAAGCTTGTTAGTCGGTTCTTCACTTTGATTATACAGTAATGGACTAGTAATAAATAAACGCTACCAGTTTGTGCTGGGGTAAGTATAAATGGCACGTAAAATAGAAACGTCTTAGTGAATGCATACTGACTCAAAAATGTATATACACAAAGGATGCGTTTAGAAGTTATTTTTCATTTGTATTATATTTTTAGAGAGGAATGCGCGCTAGACAGCTCCTGTCTATTAAAAGTCAAAGGTCTTGGTAGTCGCGAGTATTTACGGTAATAAAATTATTGCGAGTATCGATGTCGACTTAAGTCGTATTCGTTTACTCCAAAACATTTTTATTACTTATCGAGAATTTTGCTTGTTAGATCATTCAGATACAAAAGTAACAGTAACTTATAGCAATGATAATGATTGGGTTTTTTCGCAGAATTAGAATACATACTAATATTAGAAATGTAGAAGTCAACAAGTACTCATAGAGTTAAAAAAAAATTCTGAACAAACTTCGTAATTTTGCGCGGATGAAGTCACGGCCAACAAATAGTAACTACGAGTAACTACGAAATCTTAGTATCAGTCTGAAATAATATATAACATCTCATTATTAGCAACGCAAATAAACATACCTACATCATATTTACGAAATGTGTTTTGTTCTCAACATTACATACAGACACTCCAATTTCATTATCATTTATAGAAGATTTATATTTGTATCCAGGGAGAATAGAAGTACGCATCATAATTACTGCATATAGACTTATACAGGGGATTAAAAATAGATTAACCCTTTTTCCATTTAAAACGCAAAATAACGCTTTTCTAGCAAATTCACCACACATAGATATTTTTTTCCACATATATTGACTTTTAAATTAAAATGTACTATGCAAGTTATTCTATAAAGCTGAGGTTAGAACTTTGTTTACTTTGCCGGACGTTCCGTCGCACCTGGCTGTAAGGTACAAGCCGTTTATTCATTGTATGTACAACACTCCAATTTGAGGTTACAGGGGAACCCAACTAGGCTCGGAGTACAAGCGATTTACGACTCAAATGCTCTTGTGATAAGATATCAATCAAGATAAGTACACTTATATGACATCAGGTAAAGTTTAAACATATTTCTATCATACTGTGACAGGTCTTGCAAATCGTTTCCATAGTATTCCAGAAGTTTGGTAATAAATTATTTTTAGACTTACGTCTTAGTTTAATGCTCGACTGCGCTCGATGTACGGATATCATATAAGGGTAAATTGTTTGCCTCTTTCATCTAAAAAAAAATAAAATCTGTCCATTAAGGCTTAGTTCACATGACTGCGCGGAATTAGATCAAATAAAATAGAACTTATCGCTTACATTGCCGTGCACCTCGCGGGTCGTGTAAACTTACGTTAAAAGTGGCACTTTAAAAATATGGTAATAATTACGAGTAATTTCATACATATAGTAAGGTGTGTAAGTGTCAGGGCATTGTAGATGTCGGCTCGCTCATTAGCAGCTCAGTCTAATGATGCGCCTACTTGTCGTGCTCTCGTTGCGACTCGCAAAAAGTTTTCATGCGCTTTTTCTACACCCGACCTCTTTGCACGCTGCTAACATGACTTTATAATGATACGTAATTGGACAAAGTTAATAACAAAACATTTTCATAATGTATTTTACGTATGTTAGCTTGAAAGTAGGACGAAAATACTTTTGTTAGTGGAACCTCAATTTATGTATTGTTTAACAACTTTACTATATAAATGTTTTACCACAGAACCCATGATATTAAATGACAAAACATCTACATAAGTAATAAAGGCTGACATATAGGGATTGCTTCAACCAGCCGGCTTACAACTGGCTGCATATTTTAGCGACGCGACGTTTGCTAACTGCCTAAAGCTGTTCCTGTTTGGTGGCTCTTAGTTGTCAGTTGGTTTATTTTTTTTAATGCTTTTTGAAAAAATACAATAAGTATAGTAAAACTAAGCTACTACAAGATGTGATGATTATTAACATACTATTTGTATACAATTAAAATTTTAGTGTTAACTAAGTCGTGTTCTCAGAAACTATCACAATATTCAAAAAACTTGCTTATTTACAATGCATGAATCTGACTTACTATTTTACAATAAGCTGAGTTTGACCTAACTTTTACGCTATATGTGTAAATTTGCATACGATTTTGACGTTTTTAATTTAATTTTTTTACAAACCACTTACATGGGCTATAGGCGTCGCCCCTTTGCGTACTCATGCATATTAACACAATTGGTGATATTTACTTTTGGAGACAAGAAACATAATGTTATAAGGTGGAAATTGAAATATTCAGGCATACTAAGTCACTAGTGGTAGAGCCTGTAATACTGCCTATGGGCGTCGTTCACTTCGCTATTTTGGCGAATTCTGGTGGCCGCTTAAAAATGAGGTCTCAGTTAGCGCGTTCTTTTGTACTCGTACAAAAAATTATTAAAGTACGCAACATTTTTTCGGAATGAATAATAAATAGTACAACGGTAAAGAATGAAGTAACAAATTTTAATATTCTACTATTAAATATCCGACGGAATTAATGTTGGCGTCTTTATAAAAAGCTACGCTTCAGTTTAATATCTGTACTAATGTTATAAAGATGAAAGATTTATATATTTGTATGTATTGAAATAACTCAAAATCTACTGAGCCGATTTTAAAAATTCTTTCACCAATAAATAGCTACGTTGTCACTGAGTAACATAGGCTATAATTATAATTTTAGTTTCGCGCGGAAGAAGGCGCGAGCAACAGCTAGAATGAAATTCTCGAAAGACATATACAATAAACTATCTGTGCGCTACGGTTTCAACTGTCTCGCTGTTTGTTGTGTATTCCTAATACGACTATATGTAACAACTAGTTTTACTGTCACACTGTAGTCTTATTGGCTATTATTGAAAAGAGTGATAACCATATATTTTCGTTTACACGTGTATAGGCAGTAGAAGTTCTTAAAACCTACGTTGAAATAAATAAATAAAATACTTGTTTTTTTTAACTTAAAAGCGTTACTAAATTATTTAATTACAGTAAACGTTGATAGATAATTTTGTAATTTATTAAAATACGCGTATAAACGCAGTGTACGCTGTAACTCAATAAACAAAAGTTCCTAACAACTTTATATAAGAGAAGCCGATATTAAACCACACGATCACATCATAAATTTAAACCCCTTAATGGTACATTGTGTTTCGGGCACTGTTGGCGCCTGTATTTTATATATGTCATCGTGAAATTGTTAATATCGCCAGCTTTTAATCTTACTAACGATATTATAAAATGTCGCAAAAAAGTAAATTTAATTAACAATTAAGACATATCCAACGTGCTTTATCAACAGTTTTTTTTTATAATAATATAAATTTCTACTGTGAATTAGAATATTACATACATGTTTTACTAAATAGGGAAGAAATGTCTGGAAGAAAAGGTTTTACCATGCGCATACTTTACTTATTTTTTCTGTCGTGCCCTTAAGTGCGTACTTGTAACGATGTCTATTCTCTAGTCTAGACTTTTTAATAGCTTGCTAATAAACATTACTTAACAATTGAGCCATTAAACGCAAATATCAAATATTTACTAAAGATTATAGAGACTGTAAAGGCATTCAGTAACTATAGGTTTATTTTATGAATGTAGATACATACGTATTAAAACATCAGAGGGGCAGAACAAACCTCTTGCGAGTGCCAATTTTCAAAGTTGGAAGCAAAAGGATTATTTCTGCGCACATAGTATCGCGCCGCCGCGCCATTTCATCCCGGTAGAGTAGTCGACCCCGCAACCCCGTGCCGGCCGCGCGTCTAGTCCACGTGTCGGACACACTAAATACCTCTACATTGTATTCGACGACAATTATGCGACATTTATCAATATAATATAGACTATTATATAAAGTATAAATATTAAAGTGATGGAATTTATTTCGGAAAAGTGGTTATCTAAAAAATCTAAATATGGAGGATGTTTGTATTTTTTTAATTAGGTAACTTTTTAAGTAAAAGTTCCGATTACTATTGTTGTTTTAAGTTATGTTGTGTCAAAGTGAGTGTTTACATAAAATAAATTACACTCAATCAGATTTGAAGTAACTTATTTAAAGCCCTTTTGAAAAAATTCAATCGTGTTTTGTCACATTTTAGTGTTTTAGTTTGAATAAGTTTTTTTTAATTGCATACTATTTCTCAGTTTCTTTTTAAGTTACAGTATTGTTTCTTTCTTTTCAATTATCAATTTCATTTTATAAAAGTAATTTTTTTTTTAATGAAAACACATTTATTAGTTTCTATATTGATTTGATTACTGTTTAATGAATTTGATTATAGCTTTTAATAATTAATGTCGTGAAGTGTGGACACCCGACTTTTGGACAGATATTTGTGATGTGAATAAAAACAATAACATCAAAATGTGGGTGGCTTTTATTGGATTTGTGTTCCTGTTTGGTAAGATATTTATAATAATCGTTTATTGTACAAACTTCAATATCAACTGTATATTTTTTTTTAAAAGCAATCTCTGGAAGATGTGGGATAAGCGGGCTTATTGTAATGCTGTCTTAGAGCGTTCTGTTTTTATTTTGAAAGACTCTACTCTTCTTTCAACAATAATAAGATATTTGTTCGGAGTCTCTCAACAATGTCGGCGATTTGACAGACGTTCAAAAACAACACAGAGATGTATGGGAAGGTATATCCTATTCCCGCACCCTAATCTATGTATCTTCTCGTAGGCAACGCATTTACACCTTTCTAACTGTAGTTATCTATGGACAGGGGTCCTATGCTCTCCGATATACCGTATAGGGTGGATGTAAGGTGCTCATTTGTCACTTTATCATTTAAGAAACGGCGTATTCGTTCCTCAAATTGATAAACCAAAATATATGTTTATTTACTTATTGTTATTACTTCATTAAGAATACTCGAAACCGACGAATATGTATGAGTAAGTGTATGAATGTGGAAGTGAGAAAGTGTCAGGATCGAGCTAAATAAAGTTTCGTTGTCTCTGCCTATCCCTTTAGTTTAGATGTGATGTGAGTTGGTTAGTATGTTGTTGTCCGTGTCATATCGCCAATTCATATCAACAATGCAGACTGCATTTAACTCTATTTAACAATTTTGACCCTTATCTTCACGTCAAGCTACACAAGCTTGTCAAGCTATCACATGTAATGTCGTAGTACGAGAAATCTATTGCAAAGAGACACATAGTTAAAATATCGCTCAACTTCTCTATAAAAAGGTTAGATAGCAATTTTATTAATGCAATAAAACCCACGTTTTGAAACAGCATAAAAAATTCTTCTCTAATTGCGAAATTTGAATAACACTTTGTAATGTACTTAATAATAATGTACTTTGTAATGTAATGAAGAATGTTAGTTATGAATGTGGAGGGGTACATCGGTAGAGGTAGACCTAGAAAGAGATGGATGGATTGCGTGAAAGGTGACATGATCAAGAAGGGAGTGATGACTGAGATGACGGATGATAGAATGCTTTGGATGACGAAAACCCGGTGCGCCGACCCTACGGGAGTAGGATAAGGCAGGGGAGATGATGACTTTGTAATGCAACACATTTTGTTCAGACATCGATACTTAGTCTTTTGCCTTTTACACGTTTAATGCGAAACTAACTCTAAAATAACTGGTAGGTATCTCGCTTACAGTGCGAATAAGAAATGTACATACAATATACAGGGTGTGTTACACCTAGTACCTGGTAGCGCAGGAAGTAAAAGAATAGAATAAATCTCCCGCTTTATGCGTATTAACCTGAATGTCCACTTTAGAATGGCCTTAGTTCTAAACCGTATCAGAATTCGTATTTATTTACTTTGTACATTCAAACTCCACTGAACTAACAATAAAGTCTATTTCAGTCGTTGTTTACTGAACAGTGTAGATTCGATTTATGGTGATGTTTATTTCGTCGATTTACTTTCGATAGAGCAACAGGTAACAATAACTTTACCAGATTTTGATCAACATTTTTCTATTTTAATAATCTAATAATCAATGTATTTGATGCCACATTTAGGACAATTAGATTTAAATCATTACAAGTAGGGTGTTTCCCATTCGCTGTATCGATTGTATGGATCCGATCAGCCTAATGGGAAAAAATGCTAATAGATCACTCGACTGTTGGGTCTATCGGCCGAACGGGAAACGCTCGATAAGTTTGATGAACATAGAAATGTGTTTTGTTTTGCTTATTTACACTTTTGGTGCTGTTGGGAATTTTGTACGTAATCAATTTAAGATATACAACTGAAAATTGTTTGGTATATTTAATTAAATTTAAAAAAAAAACTTTATACAGACATGTTTCTTTTTTTCGTTACACTATAATTATCAGGAGGTTGTCGGAACGTCTTTTCAGCGGTAATCTGTAGAGATCTGAGAAAAACATTGAATAATTTTGGCTATAAAAAATATACTAGTACTTTCTAGTGATAATGAACGTGGGTTTTTCCAGAACACCGATATCCAGATTTCATTGAAAATCGAAGAATTCCAATATGTCTTTTACTATTTCAAGCAGTAGAAGCCGACGGTATGACTCGTGTTTTCATTTACACGATTCATGAATCACGTACAAATCTAGAAGCAGTTAATTTAATGAATTCTGTTTTTAAAGTTGTTTAAAAAAATAATTTTTATATGCCCATACTTTACCATATATTTAAAGTTGACCTAATTAAGATCTTTGAATATTCACAGACATTTTTTACTTGAATTCTATCACTATGAGTTAATTTGTTTGGTTCAATAAAAAGCCACAATCATCGTGTTTAAAATACTTATAAATAATTTAAAAAATTAAAACTAAAAAAATGCAACTATTACAAAAACAAATTTGTGTTGCTTTTAAATCAAATTTGGTTGTTTCAATGATAAAAGTAATATTTCACTAGTCCGAATAAATAAACCCAATTTGTATTGCATTTTCCACATTTTCCATTGTTGTATTTGATTTCGATAAAATGTTATTGTAAATTTTTGAAGTATACAAAAATGTTGTTAATTTTAAAATATGTCCAGGCAAATGAAACTAGATATGTATAATACCTTTCCAAAAGGTACTTTAATCCAAACCTAAAAACTTTAGATTTCCCATGAATAACATATTAAGAGTATTTCTTTCGTAATTGGTTATTAAAAAATACCTTTATATAGATTACTCATGATAAACTTGCACTGAGTGTTACCCCTTAACTGTAAGTGCGGCTTAATAAATCTCACTAACGGCCGAATACTGCACGAGTAAATCAACAAGTGTTATCAAACAGTATGTACGATAAAACCCATACACAGTCCTCAAATGTAAAAATAAAATTGTGTAATAGGGGTGTCAGCGCGCCCAGGTCACTGGGACCATTTGGGGCAGCCCTACTTCGACAATAACACAAAGCGCGAGGTCGCAGCTACGATCGGAAAGGCGGCCTTCCTACTGTGCAGAGTTAGGAATCTTGCCGATAAATCTGTAAGTAACAAATTATTATGCGTTTATTTATATAAGACACTTTAAATGAGCAGCCTCGCCCACTTCATATTATTATCGTAATGAATTTTAATAGTGGTAGGACCGATTTTTCTCGTGCTATACCACGACTACACAAAAGATACACGTGAAGTGCTAGCCGGAGGCCTAATTTCTCCTCGCTTCCCACCCTTTTATTATATAGACACGACTGAATAGGTTCCCGCCAAATCTAAGCTGGTCTCAAAGGAAAAGGAAATATATTCTAAAGAAGGCGAATGCTAACTACAGGCAACGGTCACTTTGCTATTTTATCAAATTGAAGTAAACGCTTGCTTGTTTACTACCTTTTATCTTAAAAATGACAGTATTTTTATATAGGTGTTTGAGAAGACGCTTACGGTATTTATGTAACCATGTAGAGTAACGTGCGCTGTATATCCGAGTATATCCTGTTATCAGCGCCTAATAAATTCTAATATTCCAGGTATCGTGGATACGGAAACGTGACTTGCATATTATATCAGTAGGCGTCCACACGTACAGCGGAGACGGGCGCTTCGTGTCGCTCCACCCTGAGGGCTCCGATGAGTGGACGTTACGGATTTCACCAGTCAAGCCGGCAGACTCTGGTGCATATGAGTGCCAAGTGTCGACAGAACCAAAGATTAGTCTGTCATTTCGACTAAGCGTTGTTGGTACGTAATAAAGACTATATTAATTAATTCTGTAATATTCTTCAAAATAATTAAATGCTCTATAATGTTCAGGAAAGAATAAAAAAGGAATGTTACCTTACGCTTCAAATCTGTTTCTTTTTACGCTCAGTGGCCATATAGAACTGTTGCAGATATAAAAAACAAACCTCTTTTTTTCTACTTTTCAACGGTTTAATATTTACTTACTTTAAATGTTTATTTAACTATATATTTTTTTTTGTAGTTATAATTTTTCGCAATACTGTTCTTAACAACTTCAACTGCGAATAACGCAATCTTTTACGTGTCATGTTCAGGAATACACAACATCCTACGTCAGAATTGTTGATAGGTGTTTCTAAACTTGATTTTTACCGAAACACAGTTTCTATTTTGTTCTTTCTTTCGAATTTTCACCAGTTTTTACGTTGCATACACATATTAAATTTTTTAATAAACCATTGATGGAAAAATTGTTTTCTATTCCATAAACAGTTATCGTGTACAGTATACAATATGTTGTAGAATTAATAAATAAACTTTTAATTTGCTTTGTCGAGGAAATATGAATGCAGTTAATATGAGGCCTAAAGCTGAGGCTTTATATTAAATTATTCAAGTGCTTTATTTCGTCTGGTAAAGTTTAATGTAAAAAAGTTGCATTCGTTTTAAATTTACTCTTTCTGTTTAAAACAATACACGCAAATAACATTGTGTAATTTTAATCGTACAATGTGTTTTTGTTTTAACGCAAAACAGTTTCGAAGGCGGAAATTTTAAATGGAAACGAATTATTCGTTAGAAGTGGATCGGACATCAATCTGACATGCGTAACAAAGGACGCTCCGGAAGCACCCAGGTATTACAAATTTACATTGAATAAAACATGATGGAATAGACATTTTATATTAAAATTATTAGCAAAAAAATTACCTTAACTATATTTTTATGTCCCGTGCGACTTCATCCGCATAAAATTAAGAAAATTTTTATTTCATTGTTTACATATGTCAAATTATCAATTGTAAATGTCAAAATGACATGACATGATGACAAAACATGACAACCTTGCTTCCTTGATGTTGACAGCAACTTATGGTCTCTTTCCAACATTAGGGTTTTTATCCAAAATATTTGAAAATAAATAGCATAAAGCGTGACATAAGTGTAGGGCTTTTTATTAAAAAAGAACTATTCAAAAATATGCTGTAATTGCTGACATCTTAGGCAATAAAGAAGTGTGTGTTTACGCTTTATTGTAATGAGTATAGATTTCAACTGAGCCTAAACTTATGCTTGGAGACTATGACTTATGCTCACGTGATCGAATGCCCGGGTTTACCCATTTAATATAATTTAATTAATAAGAGCCATTGCTCTTGGTGGTTAACGTATACATGTGTTTTTTGTTTCGCAGTTTTATTTATTGGTTTCGAGACAAAGACGTGGTGAATTACGCGCAGAGAGGTGGCATAAATGTACTGACAGACCAGAAGACGAGGACCAGTCGCCTGCTAATCGCAAGAGCTATACCACAAGATTCAGGCAACTATACTTGCGCGCCGAGCAGTTCGGGTAAGTCGATTAAACTGTTCAAAGAGTAACATTACGGTCGAGGACTTATATTTCGTACCCATTGCGAATAAACGTCATTTATCGGTCAAAATACGATAGGTAGAAATTGTCGTTAATATATTATTTTACAAGTATAAGTATTTTACAATACCTGTATTTTTTTCTGGTAATAATATAATCTTGTAAATTTTGCTTTCTCTGTATTAAGACCTCAGTGATAAGCAAATTAATTTATTTGACTGTACGATGATTTCGAATTCTTACAACGTTGCGTGTACTGTTAGTGCTAAATAAATATTGTACATTATTTTTTTGGCATCTGTTATCTCTTTGCAAATGGCGATGCAAAAAAACCAGCAATTTAATTCGAATGGTAGTGAAGCAGTCAAACGAGCTGCGGCACTGCCCTCTTGTGCACTTTAGCTGAAACGATATCGCGTCCACAGTAACGACCCAATTTGACTTCACTTTTAGGGAAGCAATTGGCTTTATAGAGTTTTATTTTAACTAACAGTGGTAGAGCTTTGCTGTGACGTGTTGCTTGTAATCAACTGAACATCTAAAAACGTAAACGTACGAAACATTGTTTATTTTTTCAAACTACATCTTCCACGTAATTCTGCACCGCGCGTGTACTATACGCTTTTGCGTTTGTTGCGCTGAGGTTTCACTGACGTAACACCAACACGAGAGCATAATTTGATATCTCATATTTCAAAGACGATAAGCGAGTTTAAAAATGTTTCTTAACATCACGAGTATTTTAAAATTGGAAGCCCTAGATTATATTAAGTGTAATCGAGTTTTATAAAAAAAACTCTTAAACCATTTTCTTACAATTCCCATTTCATTATTATCTCCACCATAACTGAACTGGAATTACATATATACTTAGTTGTTGCGGATTATGTATAGCATTGAAAATATCTTTTTTGTAACCTAACAATTTTATTATTTATTTATTTAATCTTTTCCACAATAGTTACAAAACATATACTTAAAAGCTAAGACAAGAATTGCGCAAGGGCGACTTTATGCTGCAATATTTAAATTGCTATATTTTTTGTTCAGACCCTGCATCGGTGATCGTCCACGTGCTGAGCGGCGAGCACCCCGCCGCCATACAGGGCTCCGGCAATACAATACGTCTCAACTATTACATAATAACTACTCTCCTAACAATGTACGTTGTGAACAATTCCACGCGATCATCTTTTTTATCCATACTCCTAGCTAATTATATTTTAATTCTTCTAATTGTTATTTTTATGTTGTTGACCAATGTTATCATTAATTTCTTAATTCATTGCACATTAACATATTTATTAAGTCAAAGTTGACTAAACACGCTACTGAATTCGTTGTACTAACTTGTCTGTGACCAATTCTAACTTGAAATGTAAGCCTTAACTTACCTACTACTTCTAACTTTCAGAATTATAATCAAACAACTTTGCTTTGTGTTTAATTGTACCGCTTCAAATTAATAGAATAACAAATACTTTAAAGCAGGGGTGGTCTACTTGAGAACAAGATCTACTGTTTACTGACAAAACCCAGTGCAAACTCCCAATTGCGTGCTGCTTGAAGAAGCAGCAATTTATACAAACATGTAGTATTTTTGTTTTATTTCAAGGGAAAACATAAAACAAAAATATTATTAGTTAGACATATTTATATTCAGTGTGAGCATTGTGACATCTTTCGCTTCGACTTATTTTACGTATTTATGTTCTTTTACTTTACCGTGATTAATAGTCGCGATCGACGGGTTGGCCACCCCTGCTTTATAGCTATTAGTTCTCGTCACAGTAAATTATTTGGAAACAGAAGTATTTATATAAATAATTTTCCAGTTAGTCGTATCAAGTTTGTTCTAAAGAAAACCTAATGTCCTTTATCGGAAATATTGTAATTTTATATAAATTATCAGATAAAATGAAAAGAAATTGTATATAAAATTGTACTTATATACTTAGTTATAAAATAAACATGTAAAACTAAGATTTCTGGTACAAATATTCATTTTTATATTTATGTTTATGATGACGATAATTCAATAATATTTTTAAGTCATTCGGTACGATCAAATTGTAAATTAGATATCAAAACTCCGAATACTAATATAATCACAAATGATTCGGAATTTAGTTATATTTTTTCCGTTTATCGCTTTTATTCCTCCGTTTACTACCCTCGCAATTTATTCCTCTGAATAAAAAAGGTAATGCCATCTCAGATATTGTTATACCAGTTTTCTATAGGTGACGACCTTTGTGCTCGTGTTATAAAAATAAACATTTCATATTCACAATATCAGATTTACTGTCAAGGTTATTTAAGTGGGCGGGTTAATTAAAAGCCTAGTTGTCTCATAAATAGGTATTTCATTAGCATTACTTCAATTGTTTTTATTAGTAAGTACATTTTTTTGTGACTGACAGTACAAGTACAACTTGTTTTTATACAAATAACACTTTCAAGGATTCATTTCTTATTACTTCTGTTTACCGTAATTTTCATTACTGAAACACATGTATAAAAACATGTTGCCGTCCTTCACGTTGTTTTTGATAAAATTGAGATGGCAATATATTTTCGCACTAATGTATCTGCAATGAAAACCAACTTAAACAAGGCACACACCAAACGTCAGTTTTTACTCTTATTTTTTTTAATATCTATATTGCTTCTATTAATTATTAAAATTCTATTTACACCATTATCGGATTATTTGTCTACATTTCAGAAATTAATTTTCGAAGGCTTTCAAAATATTTGTGCGGACATTCTGACAGTTATTAAAATTTTATTAATAAGTGTAATGTATAAACAACGAATAATATATTAGTATTATTAAAATAATATCAGATTGATGTTTCATTTTGATTTATCAAACAAAACTTGTAAAAAAACAATATAAATTTTTAATTTAAATGAAAAGGTTCTGCTAAAAGCATTGTAACCTTAATAAAAGTGTAAATAATGAAATTCTATATATGAAATTGATGACATACAAATTCAATAGCATAATCTATTGGTTAAGGAACTATCTGAGTAAAATTCAACTGCAGTCACACTTTTATTAGACACATTGTCTCTATTTTTTATATGAGAATGTAAGGGATGACTATAGTATGTCGATGCAAGTGTCACTACAGTAGAAACCCACTGTCTTATCGATGATTTCGTAACATTAGATAAATCGGTAATATGGTTGTGACAAAATACCGATTTGTAAGAGAAAATTAGATATAGTTTTTAATGGAGGAAATACACATTTCCTGCGTATTTGATGTTGAAAGAAATATTAATGAAAATAAAGCGACCTACGTCTAAGTAAAATGAAATGTTTCAATTTCCTATTAATATAAGTACTCAAGATTGACATAAACAAGTTAAATAAAAAATAACTTAGCAAGCATATGTAGGGCTTTTACCCAACAGATTTACATAGTAACTACAGAGCGAAGTGGAGATTGTTATTTTGAAATAGAACATTGTGATTTGTTAAAGTAAATTCGTGTAAATTTACATAACCTTGGAGTGACGCATCTTAAGTGTGACATTGGGGAGTGGTTGTTTGCGGAAGGTAACTGTAACCTTCTACTTAAGAGGCGAAGTCAGCACTTGTAAGTGACGGAGGAGACTTAACTTCTTATGGGTAAGTCGGAATATTTAAATTTCAGACGCTAAAAGTTTTATCGTTTTAAATAAGAATGTGCTTTACTCACCCGAAATTATGACGTCGTAGCTCACAATTCGAAACGCATACTTTCCAAACAACATTTATTTTTAACTTTCGGAATTAAAAATCTTTAGTGCACTTATAGCGAATTTTAACAAGAGGTCATGGACGGTCACAATTTGATACGTACAACACTAAACTATAATAATACGGGTTACATTTAATTAATATTTCTATGATAATATTAGCCCTTGACTTTTATTTAGTTCACGTAAACATCGCGCCGTGCAGATGCGTCACAACAACTGACTTTTTGTGTAACTACCGACATAAAATTAAAAAAAAATACGAACAAGTGTAACTATTGTAATAAAACCTATACTAATATAATCACAGCATATTTTTGAATGACTCTTTCTTTAATAAAAAAGCCCTGCACGTAAGTTGCTTTAGACTATATATTTTCACGCATTTAAACTCAGGAGGTAAATAATTTTGTTAAAAACCTTACGTGGAAAAGGGACCATAGCTGCCATCACCAAGGAAGTAATATTGCAATGGATTGTGGTCATGTCATTTTGACATTTGCAATTGATAATTTGACAAATGTAAATAAAATAATAGAATTTTCATAATTTCATGCGGATGAAGCCGCACCGGAACAGCTAGGAATGAATAAAAGAGCTCTGGGTTTAGACTGTAAAAATTGCGAAGTAATGCAAACACATGTTCAGGCCTCACCTCAAAGCGAGCCGAATAAAGAACTCCGATAACTTATAGTGGACATGCAAAGACTGTAAGCGATATATATACTTTCACGAGAACATCGCTCATCATCCCTCACACTCCAATATCTTTATCTATACTATTATAATAAAGCGTAAACACACACTTCTTTGTTGCCTAAGATGTCAGCAATTACAGCATATTTTTGGATAAATCTTTTTTAATAAAAAGCTCTACACTTACGTCACACTTTAGGCTATATATTTTCAAGCCATTAAACTTAGGGGGTAAGTATCTTGGATAAAAATCCAAATATGGGAAAGAGACCATAAGTTTCTGCCAACATCAAGGAAGCAAGATTGTCAAGGTTTGTAATGTCATGTCATTTTGACATTTGCAATTGATAATTTGACAAATGTAAACGATAAAATAAAATTTTCATGATTTCATGCGGATGAAGCCGCGCGGCAACAGCTAGTAAGTGTATATAATTCCTCTGTTGCTTTGAGATACTTCACCTTCTATCAAAATTATATTAAATCTATTTTAATTTTTGATATTGTGCAAGCGTAGAAATAAAAGAACAGAGATCTCGTCAGATTGTTAAGGACAGAACACTAATTAGGTCAACTAGATGTTTCAAAGGCCGTTTAAGTAGCCTTTTGAAAACGGTTGAAATTTTTTTCTCTTTTGAAATAGTATCGTTTTGTCTATTTTTCAGCAAAAGGATAAAATGAAACATTGTGTCGAAATATAAAACAATACAAAACACTTTTATTATTTTGGTAACTTGAGAAAGATGATGTTGGTTATTAATTTCAGTTTGGAAAAGTTTGGTTTGGTTATATGTTTACGTTTTAACTAACTAGCCAGCGTATATTATTAATTAAAAATTTTCACATTAAAATCATACTTTCATACTAATATCATAAATACGAAAGTTTAGATGGATGGATGGATGTTAGAGTTTGTAGCCTAAACGGCTGAATGGATTTCGATGAAATTTGGCATAGACATAGAGGATAGTCTGGAAGAACACATAGGCTATTCACTTCTGTTTTTTTTTAATACCACGCGGACGGAGTCGCGACCGAAAGCTAGTAACAATATAAATGCAAAGAGTTTTGGGCACAGATTATTATAGTTAAATGTTACCTTTACTGTTTCAGGTTTTTTAGACAATATCATTAGCGTCCAATCTATTATTGGCTGTTTTCTTTCTAACGATGATTATCTTCTTTCATTACATAGTCTTTTTTATATGAGAAGGGGGCAAACGAGCGGCGGGAACACAAAGGTGGTCAACGACGCCCATGGACATCCGCAACACCAGAGGAACTACAGATGCGTTGCCGGCCTTTGAGGAAATTGTAGGCTCGCTTCTTGAAGGAAGAATCAATAGAAATACAATGATAAAATTGCCCAAGACGACTTTCGGTTATCTCATTTAAGAAATGCTGTAGACACAAGCGAAGTGAAAGTAAATTAACTGAAGTCGCCAAATAAGGTTTTCGGCTCAGGTGCTTGTTTTGGCGAAATTACAAGAATACAAATTTATTTCAATACTATTTATTTTTTGTGTATAACCTACATTAAGTGCACATGATATTTACTTTCTATACACTTAAATGACAAGAAGCCATAGAGTTAAAATTTCATTTATAAAATACTGCAAATATAGAATAAGTCAGTCTGGCCACCTGAAAAAAAAAATATTTTATCAATACTAATAACAACACCAAAAGGAAGATTATTTAATTAAGTTTTACAAGGCTTTTTTGTATGGACAGATTCCGCGGAACTCAATAACAGCACCCAAAATATCCCTGAATACAATATTGCCACAATAAGCAAATTCGAAGAAACATGTCACAATTTCTGTTTCGCAACTGAATCGCGTTTAGAATGTTTTTAATGTACATTTAAATATCTTTAACCAAGATTTAATGATTATTATTATTATATATAACTTACCGAAACAAAAGTTGCATACGATAATTCTTGTATGGCAAACGCTTTCAAAATAAGCGACTTCTGCGCTTGTGCAGTGCTAACAAGGACCAGGTGTTTGACGTCCTTTTGATGCTGTGGGAAGGAATCGCACAGATGCCAGCCGCAGGAATATATGTCAAATGACAAAAGCGAAGCCTGGTAATAATTTAAAAGAATTCAACTTATAATAACAATAGCTGTTCCCGTCCGGCTTCATTCGCGTGAAATTATAAAAACTTTATTTTATTATTTACATTTGTCAAATTATCAATTGCAAATTTCAAAATTACCGTTACCACAATAACATTGCTTCCTTAATTTTGGGTGCTTATAATTTATGATCCCTTTCCCACATGAAGGTTTTGTCCAATCTATTTATCCCCTAAATTTGATTGCGTGAAAATATATTGCCTAACCCATATCGTAAGTGTAGGGTTTTTTAATAATGTAAGAATTATTTAAAAATATACTGTGATGGCTAACATCCTACGCTAAAAAAGAAGTGTGTGTTTACACTTTATTATATTGGACTAAGTAGTTGCATTAAAAATCCCTTTAGTTTATTTTAATGCTTTATTGTCAAGTATTTATCAAATTAACAAATATTTAAACCAAATGCCAATGGTAAGTATCAATAGAATTGTTTTAGAAACAGAACGAATTTCATTTAAGTAACTTAGGTAAGTACTTAATAAACTTAATATAACGTGCGGGTTTCTCTTTGCCATAAGTGTACTTAACCTTTTAGACATTAGAATAGTGGACGTACCTGGTAAGTTATTTCACCGGCATTCCAAAGGTTAAGAGCCAATAATATGAATAAGGAGGTAACAAATGTATACGTCATTATCGCATCTGTTACATTTTGTCGGGGAGATATCTGTAATGTTAAAAGTTATATCTAGTAAAAAATAAAACAATAAAATTGAACCAAACTACATTATTGAAAAATATACCCATCGATCCTCTGATCGAGACTCCTGTTTTAAATATAGACGTAAAAATGTGGCCGAATTTTTTTAGAACTGTGTATACGCGAAACAATTTTGATTTGATGTTTTAATATTGTTTTGTTCCACGAATTTTGTTAAATGTAGAATGCTAGGAGATATTTTTAGACTTTAGTGACATTTGGAATGTCCTAACAGTTATTGTAACACTAAGTATTAATAAAGTCTTTTAAGAGTAGAATTATCGTAACTGGTATAGTACTTTAAAAGATTTTGTAAAAGATCCGGACATAAAAATACGCATTATATTGTTATTAACATAAGTAATTGCAGGATAAAATGTTGACTCACCGCTAATCTTAACAGAAGTAAAACAGCAACAGCAGAACTCTCACAAACTTGTAGAGACATTATCATGCCGAAAACACGATTCACTTCTTTTAATAATCTGTATAAAAAAACAAAAGCCATAACAAACATAACACGTTTCCAGCAACTCGCTGAGTTCAGATATGAAAAAGTCGCGGAAGCATCGAACGTGTTAAATTTATTATTAATTTAATTTAAATTTTAATTGTATCACAAAACTTACAAATTTAATTTCCGGTGCATTAAAATTCCTTGCATGCAACCCAATTTAAGCTTTAATATAGCAGATTCTTTCCTCGTATTAGTTTTATTTCGTCGGAATTCTTTGCTTATTTTCTTGAAATGGTTGCACAATGTAATAAATTTATAAGCCATAATAATAAGGTGCACTATAGGCAAACAATCTGCTGCCATCATCGGTAGCATCATATACAACCATGTCATATAGAAAAATACTCTCAGTACACTCGCCACATATGTTGTGCTGTCATAACCTGGATAATATGTCACTACCGTATAGAATGGCGTCCCTGAAAATAATGTAATTATCTACGAGTACTAATATTATACGCGTAAAGGCGAAAGATTTTTATTTTTGGATGGAAATAGCTCAAAAACCACTGGGACGATTTCAAAAATTTGCTAACCATTAAAAAGCTACATTATTAGTGAGTTTCATAGGCTATATTTTTTATTACTTTTTAATTTCTCGTGGACGAAGTGACGAATAACAGCTAATATTAAATAAAATAGTAGATCACACTTAAAGAGACTTAAACTTAGGGGGTAAATATTTTGGATAAAAACCCTAATGTGGGAAAGAGACCATTAGTTAGTGCCAACATCAAGGAAACAAGATTGGCAAGGTTTGTCAAGTCATGTCAGTTTGACATTTCCTATTGATAATTTGACAAATGTAAACAATAAAATAAAATTTTCATAATTTGATGCGGATGAAGCCGCACGGGAACAGCTAATGTAAATATAATTTAGTGTTAAAATTACCTTCAGTTACACATTTTCTCAAACTGTCTACACCATAAGCTAGAAGTGACAAATAAACGGAAACAAAATACAAAAGAAGGCCGTATTTAATTTTTTTATGCTGTTTATTCATTATCACATCATCTTCCATGTCCGCGCCGAGTTCAGCCATTTCAATGTTTAATTTTCTTATCGACTTTTTGTAATATAATAGTAGAAACATTTTAGCCAACACCGTGTTGTGTATCACGGAAAACATGACCGCAGAATTCTTTTCAACTTTCGGGAAATCTCCAAAGCAAGCGGCGAGATTTTCGAGCAATACCATAATTATGTAAGCACTTAATGATATTGTCAAATAACAATTTCCAGAACCTTCGTTCCAGTAATTACCAAGTCCCGTGTAATTAATTAATCTACAAACTTTCATGAGCAACATTTTTGTTCCTTTAGACATTATAAAGGAAACTTTAAAGCACGTTTACGTCAATTCAATCGAAATGTTGTAACGACTTTGCGTTCGTAATCAAAGATATCTTATACATTCAGTGTAGAAGCAAAATTAATTAAACTTTTCCATAGTTCGTAGAAGTTTTGATGTAATTGATCCATAAACACTAGGCGAGTTTCCTAACAGAAATTAATGAGAGCATTAATAACACACCGACGGAATTATGGAAAACTTTTTTCTTATAAATGGTAATTTATTACAAGCAGAATGTAATTTATGTTTCGAATTTTGAAAGAGTAATGGCTCGTTACCTAGAAACATAATTGTAGTTACCAGCTGTACTCAGAGTCGTTAAGTGGGCTCACTTAACGCAGATTTCATACTTATTAGCTGTACTACCAGTACTCCGTAACTCAAACTGATGTGTGAGAATAAGAATCTTTCGAAATGTGTCTTATTTTCTCATAATTTACACACAAATCTATTCAATATGCACTAAGACTGTCCCTTAAAAGAATTCATTTAATGGTCCCTTAGTGACTATTAAATTATTCTTTTGGACGTAAAACATAAGAGTCACTAACACTAATAATTGAGAACTACGTTTTCAAACATTTAATTTAAAACAAAAGGTAAAAAAATCAAAGGAATCCCTTTAAAACATAAATAAAGCCAGAATAACAAGCAATTGTTTCACAAGAATCAAATTGAGTGAAGTAAAATGAAGTTCAGGTTTGATAAGTCGAGTACAAAACACGTTCGCGTGTTCCCCAGTAATAAGAAACGGCGCTTGCCGTTACCTCTAATTAATGGTGGTTTTCTGCGAGAACGAAGACAATATATCGTTCTGGTAACGCCTATTGATGAAGGAATTGAAAGCGATAAGCCCGATTTAAGGTTTTTTCAAATCTTCGCTATTTCGTATAATTAACACGAAGAATAAGAAAGAAAAACATTTGGTACTGAGATTTTCCTGAACATTATTTAGTAATACTTGTTTCAATTACTTATTGTTTTAACATAAAACAACACACGTGTTTGAAAAATAAATCCACCATATATTTGAATTTTATATAACAAAGTCATAAGATGATTGAGGCCGCTATACTAACTTAATTATTACTAACAGCTTTAACAGATAGTATGGTTTTTGAGCCTGAACTGGCAGGCGACGACGCAGGACAGACGATGTTGATGTCTCTCGTGTCGGAGGCCATGACCTACTTTGGGTCGCTGCGCCAGCGCAAGTAAGGAAGCAAGCATGCAAGTAAGGAAGTCACCAAGTAAGTATGATTAAATTTTAAATGTCAGTAGAACTGTACAGTTACATTTTAGCTGAACAGTTCAGTGTTTAGTTAGAACTGAGCATATGTTGCGGGCTTTAGTTAAAACTGACCGGACAGCAGTTAAACCTTAAAGTAATTTATGCAGTTAAATGAAATAAATGAATAGTAACCTTTCCAAATATTTTTAGCTGTGGTATTTTATTAATTTCGGACACAAAAGAAATATGGTAAATATCTCTCTAATTGCAGTGTCCCAATTAAACTGTACTTTAAATATCACTAATTAATATTATCTCTTGAAACTTGAAGTTTTTTTCAGTTATTTAATTAACTAATACAATTTTATTACAAAGGTTCTTTGAATTTCTACATGAATTAAACGGTTGCATGAAACATTTCTAAAAATAATTTAACCTTGAATTTTCACTTCGGTAACAAATTGTCATATTCTATTTTTCTAAGAAAGTTATAGGTAGAGATGACTAATGGTCGAAGAAATTTATATACATACTAGCTGTTGGTTGCGACTTCGCCCGCTTAAAATTAAAAAAATAGCTTATGTTACTCACAGATAAATTACCTTTCCTACGGTGAAAGAATTTTTAAAATGGGCCCAGTAGTTTTTGAGTTATTTCAATACATACAAAAATACAAATGTTTCCTCTTTATAATATTAGTATAGATGTCAGTGGACATTTTTTAAAAGATAGTGAAAATGCACTTTTATTGACCTTTTATACTGTTATAACTTGAGTTTTCAACATTAAATAAAGAAATGATTTAATTGGTGGTTAGATTAAATACTTAAAATTGAAAACTTAATTAAGTGAAACGCCAAGACAAATTAGGTTACGCTGAAGTGATGGGGCGTGCTCGCGCGGTGCACTCGCCGCCAATGCCACGCTGCAGATTCTCTTTTTCATGTTCGAACATAAAGTGAGACATGTTTTTTTTGACCGAAAACAAAGGACCGTTAATTAAAAACAAGTAAAAGTACATTTTCTGTCATACCTTTGTACACTCAGGGGAAATATACGGATGAAAACATCCGCGAAACAATTCTTTCATTAATTTCTTTTTGCTTTAATTATTAATATTTATTAGATGTTTCAGAGCTTATCATTATATATGGTTTTTGCCTACCCCTTTGGGTTACGGGCTTGAGTTATCTTGTTATTTTTGGACATATTTTATAATATTACTCCATATTTAATATTTTACATAATTATTTATGTAAAATACTAAATATGGAATTTTTAATTTCGGGTTTTCCTTGAAAGACAACGTCATCCTATGGAAAATAAAGTGATTCGTTGGAAGCAGGTAATATGATTAAGTGCTCGCCCTAGATAGCGATATCTAATTATCTCTCGAACGATATTTTCTTATAATTCGAGCGACCTTTTTAACCTTCCAGGAACTGAGTAAACGTACATTTTTTCTCTGTATAAAGTTACAAATAAAAAGCTAATAACAGGAAGTCAAGTTGAACGGGAGATAATCCTGATTATTTTGCTCAGAGGACGATAGATATTTTTTTGTATTATTTTGTACTTGTGTCGTACAAGACGGGTTCGGGTCCTGTGGCACAACCTACCCTTAGACTAGCCATAAACCGGAGGGCATAATATTGTTAACAAAGGAATATAGTGGCACTTACCTGTTCGATAACTGCCTCACCGCCTGCAGGTGCCTGGTCACCGTTAGTGTCAATCGAGTCAAGTCTAGTTCTGTCAAGTCTATAAGTGCCAGCAATGCTGCCTGCAGATGCACCCGTATGCAACGTTATTGTTGTTGGACAAGTAAACACAACAACCTTTGAGATAACACTTCCATAACCAACATAATAGATAGGCTGCTTGTACACGACTCTTTTCACCGCATCGCACTACTCGCGACGGACCGAACGGGAGAGGGATTTGAATCTACCCTCCTTCGCGGAATAAAAATGCGCCCGGTTACCCGAGTAACCAGGGCCGCGAAAAAAACTATATGTTCGCCACATAACATATATCTGTACCGAACAGTACTATTTACATAATTTAATAATCTTCAGATCGATCCTGGAAATCGATTATAAGATTTCTACCTTAATCCAGAGCATTTAGAAATGTTATATTGTGTAAATAAAAAAAAACACTTACTAACCAGAATTTAATCATTAATGATACAATACTGCTATTCAAACAATATTAGAAATAGAAATAGAAATAATTTTATTGAAAAATAAGAGATTAACAAATACAATTACAGTTATTATTTGATTATTGTTTTCGTATCTAAAATCTAATAAGAGTATGGAATAAAATTTCTTCTTTAATTTAATTGGCTCTTATCTAATTAGATAGAATAGCTTATCATTATTTTTCTTTACTAATCTGGCAGATTTACTTGTCTAGAACGTTGTTTTTCATATTTCTCATAACAGCAAATGCTTTGTAAGACCAATTAATAAGCTGAAAGAGAATACGAAGAATAAGAATACATGTTAAAAATAATTATTAAGTCACAGCTTTAGGCATTTGCGTGTTATTTTCTTCAATTTCTTGTGAATATAAGATAAAGTGCAGAATTTCGACCAATGGAGGACTACTATTGAAACATAAGTGATAAAATAAGATGGCCACGGAAGATCAGCACATGTGCTGAGTGGCTTTAAGTAAAAAAAAAATCATCAAAACTCACGTTTGTGTATGTACTGAGTGAGAGGGAGAAATACTTTCCAGCTGTAATTAAAAGGGGGCGCTTGCATCGCTCCATGAATATAATTATGTACATTTTCGTAGATTGATCTATGTCCAACCAAGGACTATCAAATGTCGCGTTTTGAAGTTCCAGACTCTGTTGAATAATAACTTACATGCAACGTCCCTATCAAGTTTAATATCAGAAACCCTTAAAACTTCTTAAAATTTCAAACTAATAGTAGCTTTCGCCCGCGTGGTATTAAAAAAAAGGAAAGTGAAATATGTGTTCTTCCAGACTATCCTCTACATCTGGATCAAATTTCATCGAGATCCGTTTAGCAGTTTAGACTACAAACTCTAACAAACATCCATCTATCTAAACTTTCGCATTTATAATATTAGTATTAGCATGATTTTGTATGAAACCTGGTTAATTTACAATTTTCATTTCTTTTCTGATGATTATCGAATCAAAAGTTATTAGTTAGTTATATAACATTTTAGTGAATAATGTCAACAATTTTAACGTGTAATTAATATCGTTTGCAAACCATACTCACTTTCAAAATTAATTCATTACCAAACCAACACAATATGAACACTTCTGTCAACATGCATGTTAAATATATAGCCATCCACATTATTTGCATGCAATGATCCAAATGGTTTTCGATCTGTAATTCAGTAAGTAAAAAAAAAATTAAGTTAACAATACGGGTTTATTTCACGCAAAATATCTCGTCTTGGACTTTATTTAAAAATATATATATTTAACGGGACGAATTGATTGATACTTTTTAAACGATTAAAGTTACTGGCAACTTATATTTTTGAGTACTGGCTGAATGTACATCGGGCATGACATGATTGATGTCAAGGTGACAATGAAATGACGGAAGACAGTTGTCAAAAGTGAAAAAAATACGATTTGTTATTATAAAATCAATGGATTAATCTCTGTAACTTTTTGCAATTTGATTAGATTGTGTCGTGAAGTTATCAATTAAGATGGTAGTCAACCAAGGATAGTGTTTCTAATGTTAGCAATTGTTATTTCACTATCTCCGGCATACGCACGCCTACAATGGAGAATCGTTACAGTTTATATAATCTGCCTTCGAAATTGAATTCTACATACCCCTCGTCACTCCGACATATTAATTTTATTATTACTGAGCGATGGCATCGTATAACACTAAATAACACATTTAAACTCACCGATAAAAAATTGATTCCAACTAAACAAAGTACCATGACACTTAACATAAACTGTAGAGCCGACGACAAACTGAATGCAGATTCTATCATTGTGATATACCTGAAATAGATATATAAATGTCACTAACAAATTGTAAAACGCCTGTTTGTAAATTGCCTAACAAGTTTTAGAGTCAGCGATTTTTATACCACGATTTCGTTCTTAAAGTGACGTATGATGTCAGACACTTGTAAAATTTTTATTGTCGCCTTCACGCTTTGTCGGTAACATTACCTGAATACAGTTTACGTACTTTTCAAAAATAGAAAGTCTAAATTGTAATAAAACCTTATGATAGCATCATGATGTTTAATGCATTTCTTCAAAACACACTTCACATGATCATCGCGATAAGGATGACTTCTAGAATTAAAAGTTTTTAATTGCCTTTTTTCTTGACGTTGGGCCATTGCTTTAAAATTTCTTAAGTTAAATGATAATATTTCTATTTGTCCAACTGAAACAAAGAAAAACATATGAACCTTACGATAAAAAAACTTAAACAGAGTTTCAAATACGTTTTAGTTGAAACGTGCGTCAAGTTTTTATACCGTGACTTTAGCGCCCGGGCTCGGATTTTAGGCAAATTATGGTGGTTTAAACATTATTACGCTTAGTAGCGAAATGCAATCTAGCCCAATAAATAAGAACGTACTTATACCCAAAAACAGTATGGTAAATATATTTTTAGTAAAACCTAGAGCGTTCAGAGTTAAAACACGTGTTTAAGTATACAGTGTCTCTAGGTTTAGGGTAATACAAATTTAATTCTATAATTAGTCGTTGCCTGAGATTTCAGGTTTAAATAAAAAAGATTGCATCATATGTGCTATTAAAACTATTTATCTATTAGTCAGGAGTTTTACGGCAAAAAAAAAATGGATACATCTGAACTTTCGCATTTATAATATTAGTAAGAAGTAAGATTAACACTTAGGAAATATTATTGATCTCAGAGAAGTGAGCATTAGTTCGTACTATTTTATTCACAAGGATTGTACTAATGGTTTACAGAAACAGTTGAACGTGTAATGATCTATTATTGATTGCGTTTAACAGAGCCTGGCGTACTATTTAATCTACCTACTATCAAAGCCCTTCTAACTAAACTAATATCTACTACACGTTTGGTGCGCATATAAATCGAATGAATTTTATTTATGTTTATTTTTTTAAAAGATCAACCTTAACCTTGAAATTTCTATATTAATTTAAGTAAAGTTATCTCGTAGTTAATTAAATTTGAACTAAAGAATTAATAACTTTTTTATTTTTTCATTTAATAATATAAAGTAGTAAATATGTATGGATGATTGTAATCAAGTAAATCTAAAAAACGTATCAGGATGAAATTTGGAATAAATACAGGTAGATGGCCATAAACTAATTAGATTACTTTTTAATTTCGCTTGCACCACAGCTATTTGGTAAAAAAAGGAGGTTAAAATACAAAATAATACAAAATAAACTTACTTGCAGACGCAACAAAAGCAGCCAATATTGTGTCCATAACGCCGTCAATAATGCACGTAGCGGGTTTGTAATATATCTGAATAGAAGCGAAATTTAAACTCAATATAACCTTACAGCACATAATGTTTAGCCACAGCCTTAGTGCAAAATTCTGAATAATACTAAATGTAAATGTGTATTGAATATTGAATGTTTGAGTTGTTGTTTTAATAAACATGGTTTTTTTTTAGTTTTAGCTTATGAATTATAGTCTAATTTCTTCCAATCGATCGCTAATTTAAATAAACTTGCTTACGTGATGAAAATAAATGAAATAATATGTCGGTGATTTGTACACGTCGATGTACGGATATTCGACATTAGTTGGTAATATAACAAAGTTCTCTGTTATTGGCATTAGTATTCCCACTGGAACAAATAATTCGGTTTATTAATCGGAATCGGTTTCATAGCAATAATTGTAAAACAGTTGTAAATTGGTAACAATCGTAAATACTTACTTTGCACCGTATTAGCATGTTCTAGTTAAATATTTAGTTGTTAACGCAATCTACATTGCTTTGGCAGGACATTTTATAGATTATCTGTTTATGGTGTTTATTACAAATGAACAAATTTTAAAATGTTGATATACGCATTAAAAATAATAAAAGTAATTAAAGGCTAAGTAATTGTATTGTTCATGCCGAAATACTGATATGGTTTTACACGTCCATAGATAATCATCCATTCGTTACTTTTAATAACCTTTTCTGTTATCTTTCCTTTATATGTGTACTAGCTTTCACACGCGACTCCGTCATTGTGCAAGTAAAAGATACAAAAGGGAGTAGCCTATGTGTTCTTTCAAACTATCCTCTACATCTATACCAAATTTCATCGAAATGTGTTCAGCAGTTTAGGCTACAAACTCTAATAAACATTCATCCATCCACCTAAACTTTCGCATTTATAATATTGGAAAGTAGTATACCTGAGACGGCACCCACACACATCCCCGTATAAGCACACATCACGAATCGGGCAGTTTTTATTCTTCTTTTTATAATATCATTATGTTCAATTTCTTGCGGCTTAAATTCAGGACAATGCATAAAATTAAGTAAATTCAAAATCTCTTTCTTCTTGTACCAAAAAACTATAAGTTTAAAGTACGTGTACATTTCGCTGAGAAATAGATACAGTCTGAAATTCAATTGGTACATTAATAATTACGATAGTTTCTATTAAAACCTATAGTCGAACACCTAGCTGTTGCTCGCGACTTTGCCCGCGTGAAATTAAAAAAATATAACCCATGTTACTCACTGATAACGTAGCTTTTTAATGGTGTAATAATTTTTGAAATCGACCCAGTGGTTTTTGAGTTATTTCAATACATACAAAAATACAAATCTATCCTCTGTATAACATTAGTATAAATTACTACTAAAACTAATCTACTGGGCCGATTTTTAATTCTTTCACTGTTAGAAAGATCTGTGAGTAACATAGGCCATATTTTTTATTGTTTTTTAATTTCACGCAGTAGAAGTAGCGAGCCACAGTTAGTACTAAGGATAGATGTATTTTATCACTCTTTCTAGTTCTATACTCTATTTTTATCCTACTTATGTTCATAGTGATAAGCCAGTGGATAGAAATAGACAAATCTAATTGGTTGTGAAAGCTTTCTACGTTTAACTCATAAATACCGAGAGTGCTTCTACTAAAATATTCACATTTAAATATTCACCCTTCAGCTATATGACCGATGTTTCCACGTCGACGTAACAAGTAAAATATCTCTCCTATACACGGTATTATACAAACTAGCCAAAATACTATGAAAGTATAGAAAATTTTAAGCCAAAACTTCAGTTTCTTCCAAGAGCTGTTATTGTACCACATGCCATAGAATTTCAACCAGAATATATGAACGCTGACGTAATTTATAGGATCAAGTTCGTCTCGTGTCTCAATAAAATTGTAAGGTGAGAATTTTGACAGTAATTTTAAAAAGATCCTCCGTAAGGAAATCATTTTGAAAGATAGAAGTCTGAATGAAACGGATCGTATGGTATTCAGAGCGCTTGTTCCGGTTAAAGTAAATATTTCTATTTAAATACCTTACCTATATGAAAAAAACTTTATTAAGGCAGGGATGTATTCGTATTATATATTTTATATTTTGTCGGTCACCTAATTTTCAATACAAAGGTTTAGTTACTTTCTGATCATAATTATTATAACTTACTGATAAATAAGTACAAAAATAACCATTTATATTAAACATTGTATGTAGAATAAGTTTTAGTATAAAAATTGTTACTTTCATTAATTAAAATAAAATGTTTTTTGTATAACACTCGTGCGGATTGCCTACAGCCACCGCTTCAACAAATATGCACCGTGTTGTCGCAATATTTTGCAGCACTTTTCTTGTATGTATAAATAAATATTGTTATAGCTTTAAATATACTCCAATGCGAACGAATTCACAGTATTTTATGCGGCATTTATTGAAAAAACGAACAAATTCATTATATGTAAATCATGCTGTCATAAAAACTTCACGCTGTTTTAGTGAGATCTAATAGGTAAAAACCAAGAAGTTGACAAGCATTATTGATTTCGTGACCATGTCAAGACTTTCCTATTATAGGTATCGTCTCACCTGTTTATTTATATTTTTTCTTTGTTTTTATTATTAAAGTATAATACACAAAAATGAAAGTCATAAATAGTCCGAGCCTTAAATGGTTCATTAGAAATGTTGTCTGTGGCAATTACAATAATTACCACAGCGGTATAATTATCTAGTAAAACAAAGTGTAATGATGAAATAATAAGCCATTTACTTTGGTAAAGAGACTTTTAAGTAGAAACAGATTATATCGTGATATATTTACAATGGAAGACTATATTTATGTTACGAAATAGACGGGAATTGGGATAGATTGTGTCTATGTTGGCCACACTGAGATCCCATGGCCAACAGTAGAAGCACTCAAACAAAATTAATCATTATCAGTACTATTGAATCAGTTAACAAGAACAGACGTCTTGTGTACGAGCCAACCTGACGACGCTACAAGTACATCCTGCAAATCGGAATGAGAACTATCAATTAGGCAAGTCATCGCCAACAAAATAGCTGTCGGAGATACTTATGGTTGTACTTAGTGCACCTAGCACCTTTACCTTCAGTAATGGAATGATTTTTGAAAGTATAATGCTGGAATGATTGAGTATTCACTTATCAATATTGATACTTAACTATAGTTTTTGATACATTACTTTAAGGTAAAATAAAACGTGATTTTTTTTATTTAAATCGAACAAAAGCAGTCATTTAATCTAATTGAAAAACATTGGACTCTCAGTGAATAGAACTCGATTCGACGATGGATACGTACTTTAACGTTTATTATTGAAGCGCTGAGTTTAAAAAAAAAAGTTTAATCGTTATTAAACATCGTCGTTGAATGGAAATGAATTTAACAGTAATTCGGAAAATTAATAAACCTTTCTCTTGTGTACTGGTTTTATTTCATCGTATTAATATTTGTAAACGACAGATCTTTTTATTACGTTATAATTAAAGACATTAAAGTTCAAAACAAACTTTATTTAAAACATATGTTTTGTACTAATTACGAAATTCTAAATCAGTACTAAATATTTTAATTAAAATAGTATACGAGTATGAATAGCCAATGCTATGAAACAAGATAAATTAAAATGGAATTTTCTTGAATTTAGAACTTAAAAAACATAATTACACTTTGGTTAGAAGAAGGTTTGAATTAAGTTGCCAGCGTCGGTTTTTACGGCCAGATATGACGTGGGGGCCTTCAAGAAAAGAGTGAATGAGTATTTATTAGGGTAGCGCGTACCATCTTTCGACCAAATCTTCACTCTCAGTCGGTGGGATCGTGGTCAATCGCTAGCTTAAAAAAATTAAAAAAATATATATTTTCTTCCATGTTATATGTCGGGGAATTTTATTTAAACTTAGCTATATTAAACAATATCGATAATTACTCTTAACTTATAATTTACGTAGAAAATAATACATTAGTTTATGGCCGAAATTTACAGTAGCTTGTGTTAGATAGTATATTGGATATCTAAATATATCTAAAATTATTTCCATTATTGAAATAACGGAGGCTCCAATACATGTGTTCACAGCGCCACCACTTCTCACTGGAAAAAATAATATTTTTAAGGCATTGTTTATATGTCTCCCTTTTTATTAACTGACTGAAAAAGTGTGTAATGTTTTTCGCGCGTGAGTTTAAAACGACTTAACCTAAACGACTGAACCGATTTTGACGTAGCAGGTATCATTCGATTAGTCTTCTTCACCTGAATGTCATAAGATAATTACGTTAGCACAAAACACTCAGAGTGAAGGTGAGAATTAAAATTGTGTAATATTAGTGAAAACACATTAATTTCTAAATCCTTTTTTTATGATTTTATTTAATGATATACCATAAGGTGGCAAACAAGCAAGCGGCCGCCTGAATCCGCCAAAACGCCAAACGGCCAAATCGACGGAGGAGGAGTCGCACATAAAGAGGATATTTCCTTTTCCTGTACGTCTCCTCCAACGTCAAATCCACTTTCCCTTCCTATTCTTTCCTTATAAGAAAAGGATGGTAAGAGAAAGGGACTTTTATTAGGCCTCTGGTGCCATACTCATCAGACGAAATGCGGAATTGCTCCCACTTCACGCCTGTTTTCTGTGTGGTCATGGTATTACACCGGGCGAGCCTGCTAATTCGTGCGTAGATGTTATAGCGTGCTCTAGCACTGTTATGTTTTTTTATGATTTAGTAACAATGGATATTATTTTATTTGTGTCAGTATTATAACGTTAAACTTTTATAAGAAATTAACTTACAGAACATATCTGAAAAACTAAAGATTCTATCTCTTACGATTCTCATTTTCGGGAATGCGGTGAAAATAATTCTCACTCTGCTCGCAGACGGTTCAGGTGTGTACTCCTCGCGATCTTTACGATAAATATCCGTCTCACAGTTGCTTAGACAGGAGCAGTCTTTCGGAGTTCTAGGTAAGTGGGCACTTGAACTAAATTTCATCAATGTCTCCTTAGTAACGGATAATGCCATGATCTCTTTCCTATTCTGAACAAAACAAGTGAGCTCGGAGAGTTTACAGGTGCGTTCATTTCCTGCAATGTATAGGAATTAGTTGCTAAAACTCAACGACAAAATAACGCACGTTATATTTGCTTTTTTGTCATAAAGTATAAAATCGTTAACGTGTAAAAAATGTACAAACATTTTTGTATTACAATCGTTTAAAAATACGAAGTATTTTATAATATAAATATGAGTATTTAAAAATGTTGATGTATAAAGTTGGTACTTATTAACAAACAAGAAACCTTTAATGGCCTAGAATCGTTTCATGCGAAACTCGTTCTCATTTGTAAAACATTAAATTTTTAAAGGAAAATAAAAATGAACTTTTGTTTTTATCCTTTAAAAAGCTTCATACATTAACTAGAGTTATTTTGTTATAATGAACTTTTTTAATTAATGACGTATGTGACAGAACATAGAGTTGAAATTTAAATACCCAATTGAATTTAAGGATTAACCTCTGTCTACTGACCTGTGATCTTATAAAAATGTGGTACACAGCCGCATAGCTTTTTAATTAACTGAATACGACATTCCAATAAACAATTATTGTACGAATATACTGGATACCTTGTACTTATTGGCTCATCGAGAAATCTACAATTTAAAAAGATACCGTTTTATTTGCTTTTCGTTTCTCTCATTGTTCCTCCCGATATAAATTACTAGCTATCGCACGCGCATGATCAGATAGCAGCAACCGATCAATTCGAGGTTCGGCCCTCTCGGGCGCCCTTGAATCGGAATGCTAAACGCTTATTGAGTGACAGCCCAAGCCGAGGTCCCCTCTCGGGGACCCTTGTGCTAAGTCACTCCATGGAGCGACCACCGAAGCGATCTAAGAGCTCGGTGGCCTCCCAATCCGGTAATAATAACGAAGTAACGGCCCGAGCCGAGGCTCCTGAGGGAGCCCTCGAGCCTAGTTACTCATAAAAGAGGCTTAGGCTAAGCGCCATCTGCGCTCGGTCACCTCAAGCCCGGTGAATCTGTAAATGCCTCTTCAAGGCAAACAGTGACAAATCAGTCACAAAAAAAAAAAAATATCGCACGCGACTCCGTCCGCGTAACACTTCTCCTATCTTCGTCTACACCTTCATTTATCTCACATTATCAATGCATTTCTTATACATTGTACAGCAATTAACGTAAGCAATTAAAGTTTATTTAATCAAATTCCATTAAAATTTCGGCAAGATTGCACTTGAGAAGCGAAGTGTATGTGATTACTTTCAGTAGTCGTCCGTTAGACATTCTTTTGAAACGAGGTGGAACATTCGCTGTTTTGCCTCGTACCTGCACTGTCGGACTTGTATTGAGGCAGAACGAAGCTCCTTTGATATTTTTGTGCTCCATATTTGAAAGCCGTACGTCATAAAGCCATCTGAGTCTACGGTGTACGAAGGAAAGGTACTTATCATCGGCTCATTCGGACTGTGTACGTAAATCTGAGAAAAGGCAATATTTAACGAAGCGAATCTTTAAAATTCTTAATATCTCTTATACATTTATTGCGATTTTTCAAACAAAACATAAGACGATATATTTTTGTCCTACTTTATTCCTGACTAGCTGTTGCCCGTAACTTCATCCGCGGGAAATTAGAAAATAATAAAAAACCTAGCTTAAGTTACTAACTGATAACGTACCTTTTTAACGGTGCATGATTTTTTGAAATCGGCACTACGTTTGAACTATTTCAATACATACAAAAAATACAAATTTTCCCTTTTTAAAATTAGTAGATACAGATCAAATATAATAGAATTAATTATATGTTTTTACGCGGTAATTTGTGCACCGGAAACTGATACAAGGTAACATTATAAATAACTAGCTTTCGCCCGCGACTCCGCCCGCGTGGAATTAAAAAAAAACAAAAGTGATTAGCCTATGTGTTCTTCCAGACTATGCTCTACGTCTATGCCAAATTTCATCGAGATCCGTTCAGCCGTTTAGGCTACAAACTCTAACAAACATCCATCCATCCATCTAAACTTTCGCATTTATAATATTAGTTAGATATGGTATTTTAATTAAATATAAAGGATTTACGAACATGAGATACAACATCGTCGTTAATAACATCAGCGTAGAAATCTGCGTCAAACGCAGATAATTCGACGTTAGTTTTAACATAATTTACATTATCACTTCTCCATTTCCTGCAAACATGAATATTATACGAGTATGTAATCTTTTACAATATTACAGTAAGGGCGTGCACACTTTTGACTAAACTATAAAACAACTGTTTGGTCTCGCTTTCATTCCCATGAGTATACTCATGGAATTGCGCAAACAACTTGATTTTTAATTGTGCATCTAATCAGTTGAATTGGCTGGCTGCGAAACAATCGTCAATCGCACAACTATTGTGCGATAGTTTAAACAAAGTTGCGCACGCTCTAAGAACTACGACCGAAAACTTATTAAAAACAAATCCCAATATAGCTCTTTGAAAAAAAAATCTACAAATTCAGGTGTAACGAGCATAAATACTTAACCCATTTAAAACTTCAGGCATGACTAGTTAAATCATCTGAATTGTATCAAATTAAACTCAAGTAGTACTCACAGAGGGTCATCGAATACTGCGACGTTAGAATTAATGACATGGCACATCCCAAATTCAGTCATAGCAGATTGTATATACAGAGAATAGTTGAAGTTTGTGGTTAGAGCGTGTTTGTCAAATTGATTAAATAGCATAGCTGCTGTTTTTGCATACTCTTCGGGATTTATTGGCTGAAATAGAAAAGTCAACTGTACTCTTTTATCATTAATTAATGGAATAGCGATGTCTGTAAATACCCATCTTTATTGCATAGCACTTAGAACACTTTATCTTTGCATTTAATTGTAAACAAAATATAAGAACTATGTTAAATATCAAATCATAATCATACTAATATTATAAATGTAAAAGTTTAGATGCATGGAGGAATTGCACCCGTTGCAGGCTAAACGGGTGACCGGATCCCGATGAAATTTGGTATATATGTAGATGATAGTCTGGAAGAACACATGAGCTTTTTTTTTTACTTTCACTAGGACGGAGTCGCAGGCGAAAGCTAGTAATATTATAAATGGGAAAGTTTAGATATATGTAGGAATGTTTGTTCAAGTTTGTAACATAAACGACTGAACGGATCTCAATTAAATTTGGCGTAGACGAAGAGGATAGTCTGGAATAACATATAGGCTACTCATTTTTATTTTAATTCTACGCGGAAAGATTCTCGGACGAAAGTTAGTAAGTAATAAGCAAATAGCATTATCATATACCTGATTGTTACAACTTATTTGAGGTTCCGATGTAGTAGGTTATATTGTTATTTTACTTACGTTGGTATTACCAGGATCCACCAAAGCTAAGGTATTTAAGTTCAGCACAGAAGCTGTTGCTATAGCCCACACATATGACTCCAGATATATTCCCGTTTTGTTAGATAATTCGCTGAAATATGTGTTATGAGTCATACAATTCAAAGAATCATTGTTAATTGTAATAAAGGGTTATTAAATTTCACAATTTCTCGCAACTATCAATGGTTATGTACATTATTGGACTTGGACTTCTATTAGATTTACTACGATTTTATAAGTAACAACGTTTACCTTTAAATCAAATACAGTATTTCATTTCCTTTATTTAGATTTTAGTTTATAAGAAACGTGGTATTTTTTTTAGAAAAATGTAAAGACAAATACACCCCATATTAAAAATAAATTAAAAATTTGAAGGACGATAATACGTTTTTGTAAAATTTTGAGCAATGGTAGCTGATTTTAAAATATAAATGTCACTCACACTACTAAATTATTAAAAGTCGTCAAATTTATCTTTATTATTGGACATAACGTGAGGGCTGGATATGAGATATTCCATTCTAAATAATCCATCTCCACGCTCATTACTGTCGGCGAATTCTGTTAAGGAAAATATTTTGAGGAATCACATATACTCGTATTATTTTTTAATATAAAATAACCGTAGTATAAATATAAAAAAGATAAAAAATTCCATGTTCTGTAATACTCACTACAAATCGTGAAAATTGCGATGAAAGCAGACTGTATATAATTATTAGCGAAAATATGAAACTCGACGCCCAAATTAATCTAGAAAAAAATATACATCACATTTCAGATAGCAACATTTTCTATATTCAACAGTGGACATCCACGGTTATATCGTAGCATACCTTTCTATCCAATGTAATTCTTGGTTCACAATATAAGGCAAGCCATGCGTAGTCGAATTCTTAATACCAGATCTAATATCATTTATATAATTTTGTCTAATCTTACGTTTGTTTTTAAATCTTTTTTTAAACGCCACTTTCTCAACCATTATATTTATATTACTTCGAATTTATTGTTTTTTAATTACTACTCTATGATCACACAACTTCTTGTTAGGAAAAGTTAATAACAGTAACTCTAGTATCTACAACTACTATGTGGACTAATGATTTATAAGACTACGGCGTACGTGGAGTGGAAACATTTTATATTTTTTACTACTCGAAATAGACATTTGTTAAATATATACTGTTTTGCTGACTAGTAAATAAATAGTAGGCTTTGTATTGATCAGGTGAGTTCCACGGTGATCCCGGAACCCTCTTCATTGCACTAGAGGTTTTAGCGGATACAAACCTCACATAACCTTGTCTTCCCTAGAAGGAAGGCTATCCTTTTGAAGATTCCCCCCTCTCCCGATATCAAAAAAGCCTTGTATTGAATATTGTAAAATAGTAACAAGGTCAATAAGTTAACAAAGTAAGGTGTTACCGTGTGGTAGCTCAGAGCGCAACTGGTTGAGCGCGGTGCGAGAGAACGCGGGGGCGGAGGAAGTCTGGAAGGGCGCCTCTGCGCGTCTTCCCCGCCGGCATTGCAGTAGTACGCAACAAAATTCTTAAAACGCTTTGTCTGTTGACTTTATGTTAAAAATGTAGCTACCTCTTTCAAGAGGTAATACTGAAAATGTTATAAATAAAATAAACGGCTATCCAAATACGGAAAGTAGACAACTAGGAAATTACAGAGTTCTGACATTGAGTGGGCCGTTTCCTCTTATTCCAGGGAAAACGGTTTATTGCTTACACATAATTTAAAAGTTGTACAAAAAGATATAAGTGTTTCAGCATAACTTCTTTCATGTAATGTTGACTATGTATATTTATTTATGATGTTAATTTCTAAGTCAATCTGAATCGTTAAAGCCATTCCCGTGTTACACGTGAAACAAGTAAATAAACTAGAATGGCTCGTTAAAAAATTAACGGAATGCTTCATCCTCATTGATAATTCGGTTGTTAGGATCCTAAAATGCTCGGTGCTCGAGACTTAATGTAAGTGACGTCACATCAGATAGGCTTAGTGTGGTGTGACGCGGAGTGGACTGGCCGCCTGACAGATGGACACTGATACTTTAATACTAGCCGTTTGAAATACAAGGCAACTTATTTAGTGATAAATGTCAGTTATAACCATTGCAATATACACCTCCTGCGTTGTTACACAATTTGCTCTACAAATTTTCCTTCTTCCTCACATGCGTAGATAAATAAAATACAAAAATATTGAGTAACCACTCTACGGTTGTCTCTATTAATATAACGTACACTTAATGGAAAATAAATTGTGTACAAACAATGCCGTCCCATCAGATTATTTTTTGTCATACAATATTAATAAGCAAGTTTACCTTTAAAAACTTATTTACTGGTTTCATATTATTATATACTAATAAATTGTTTTATAAAAATGATAAACTGTGTTTTTACTTCTTCGTGAATTGTTCCAGAATCAGCAGCACAACCGTACATGAGTTACGAAGGGATATGGGACGGCGGAAATGTCTAGTTTTAGCGTAGCATTTACGTAGCCAACTGTTACAGCTTACGTAGCAAGTCAGTAGAAAACCGTAGCAGTCGTATAATACGCAGAGAGCAGTTGCAGATTGTATTAGGAGTGTGCAAATATCGTTAGATTAGAATAATTCGTACATATTTGATAAGTGACTAAAAATGAAGAATTGACATGTAGACATTTTATCCAATTTCCCCTGAGATTTGAGCTCTTTATATTCTACAGTATTTAGGAAATCAGTTTAACAAATTCCGGTTTTTCATACAAGCTTGATAATATAATTTTGTATGACATCAATATGCGTAATGTCTTACTAATATTATAAATGTGAAAGTTTAGATGTATGTATGGATTTTTGTTACAATTTGTAGACTAAACGGCTGAACAGATTTCGGTGAAATTTGGCATAGATGTAGAGGATAATCTGGAAGAACACCTAAGCTACCCGGTTTTGTTATTTTTATCCCACGCGAACGGAGTCGCGGGCGAAAGCTAGTTTTTTATAAATTGAACATACATGTGGCTTTTAGGTTTATATTTTATGTATGAAAAAATATATGTGAATGATAGTTTAGGAAAATAAAACAAAATTATAACAATAACGCATTTATATCTATTCTTATGCATTATTTAACCCCTTAAATTTATTCTTAAAATATATTTTATGACTTAATTTAACAGCATTATTATCATGTTACAGCTAAATTCGTTAGCAGGTAGACTGAATTTTCAGTAAATTAGGGGTGTTGCTATCCAGACATATTGCACTTTTACTATGTATTTTACTCTTTTAAACTCAAATCAGGTTTTCGATATGCCATTAGTACTGCGTTTTCTGAACATGAAACCTAAAACAAAAATTATATTAGGTTAGAATTCGCTACTTTTTTTTTCGCAAGATTCGTTGGAAAACCATATCGTACAAAATAATGATACTTTGTAAGTTGGCTTTCTATAAATAAGAATCGTATGTTTACGTTGATGACGATTAAAAAAAGCTATATTTTATTAATATCCCAACCATCTAAATTTTACTTTTAAGACTTCATACCTGGTGGAATATGACAATTTTAAATGAATTTCTTAATCTCCCGCAAGTCACGGTCAAAACCAATATAATCAATTCTATCCATCAAATATTGACAAAAGGCCACATTCTGGATGATTGTGAAGTATCTTTTAACTCCTGCGAAAAAAAAAATAACCATAAAATAAGTGTCGAATATAATAATTAAAATTGTAATCCGCAAATTTTGATACAATTAGTACCATTATAGCTTACCTTCATACTTTTTCCAAATACCCTCAATAGTTGTGGTTTGCTTTATCTCTTTTCATCGACATTCTTATCCGTCTTGAAGATCATATGTAGCATTTATAATTCCATTCACTGGAATTACGCCTGTAATACATTCAAACAATTAAAAGCAAGCAAACAAAATTTTTAGCGATGTAAAAAGTTGAAGACGTGTAGATTATATTCACAAGGACATGAAGAATTCGTCATAAAAAATCCCACCAACGACCAATTATTTCGCACCAGAATCATTGCTGAACACGCCAACAAGTTATAAGAAATATTCCATACTACGATTTTCAAGTAAAATTTCAATGTACTCTGCGTCAGTCTAGTAGTCCATGCAAAACCCAAAGAAATAACCCATATTCGATAGAATCAACTTACCATCAGCCTTGAAACAAACCATGGAAATGCCACATATCTCCTACTGTGAAGAACATTTCAAACAAGTAAAATACAAAGCAGATTCATCAAAATTTATAAATTATTTAATATAGGAACCAATAGAACGGAACAAATGTATACTTAATTAACAGAATTATCCCAAACATGTGGTTAATTTCTCTCAATGGTAGAAATATAGAGAAATTTACCAACATATTGTAACAATTTGAAGGATCTTACCTAAGACATCAGTTTTAAGCGACTGCGATTTTTATGATTACGAGTCAATATATTTTATCGAGGTATTTAGACTATTTATAAAGAAAATATAAATAAGATTCCATGGGCATCACAAGAACCAATTTTATTACGATATACATTTGAAACATATTGTGCCAATAGACCAAACATTTGAAGCAACCGATTTTTCACCTTAGAAGTTCCATAGAATAAAAAAAAAATATCCGTACATATTGCCACAAAAACCATCCACTCCAATCTTCCTTGGACTACGGCACATACGAAAAAGAAAATTAAAAATATACATTACCTAGACTGAAAGAATACTTGCCTTTGTTAAAATACCAACGCTTCTTCAACATTGATAGTAATATGAAATGCATCCTTTGGAAGTGTAATTTATTTATTGAAAAAAACCTCGTACATGACACAATAGGACACTTTAACACTACAATATTCTAGAGTACAAGATATAAAAGGGTGAGAGCGAGGACATCGACCAGTGGGAGGCGAAGCGCGGCGGCGGCGAGACAAGACGACGACAACACGCCCTCACACCACACACACATCGATATCACATCCCTGAAAACACAAAAAAATCAATTCACAACCAGATCGTGAGTCTCACGTGCAAAGGAAACTTGCACCCTGCACTGCTCAGTACTATCAAGTTGCATACGTGTAACTTTTATTTTAATAAACCACAATTTTTCGAACTAAAAACATTTATTATCTGTGCTACTACAGCATTGTTTGCTCTGTGATAATACTTTTGCTACACAATCTATGGTGACGTTTCCGCTGACTTTTTTTTCAACCCAACAAAGGAACGGCGCGGAAGCAAAAATCTCTGTCAAACTTACAAGTGTGCCATATTATCTGTTACCAAAATTACAAGTTTCATTATTTCAAAAAGAAGTTTTTATTCCTTTGTTCCACAATAAACAACAATTAATTCATGTTTCACAGCTGGAAATCGATAACAGAGTATCGAAATCAAGTACCCAATCTGATTATGCGATCGAAATCGAAAAATAGTGTCTTAATAGTAGACGAGTGACACAGTCGATTAGAAAGCCTTTTTTCATTCATTTGATCAAATCTTAAAAGTCAATATCTACTTTTCTCCCTTGACTTGCGAATACATTTGCCGCTCGAACAATAAACTTGAGTTAGAAAAAGCAAACTTCGTTTTATGAAATTTGAATGTTGTAATGATACCATTTACTACAATAATATTAACCACATAAAAGAGTCAATGCATCCTGTACAACTTACATATACGTAAAACTCCGAATAAATCACATACTAAAAATAAAGTATAAATTCGAATATAAATATACATAATACAAATCTGTTGCCCGTGATTTGGTCCGTGCGAAATTTTAAAAAAATCTTTATTAGCAGCCTTTGTGTTCTTCCAGACTATATTCTGCATCTGTGCCAAATTTCATCGAGACCCTTTGAGCCGTTCTTCAGCCTTCTAACAAACATCCATCCATTCCTTCGTCCATTAAAACTTTTCCATTTAAAATATTAGAAGGATGTAAAATCTGATTGTGTGAGTACACAGACGAGAGATCGGATGTAAATGAGATACCATCATATTTTTAATTTCTACTTGAAGTCAAGAAAACCTGTCAACTGGTTACTGTTATAAAAGTTTTAGATAACCGTACCAACACCTAAAGCGTATTACCGCAAACAATAATCAAGAAGTTTCAAATAATGCGACGACTGCCGAAACTGTAAGTAATACAAATAACCTAAAAATTTTTTAAGCTGAGTTTATGATATTTTCAACATATAATTTATTAAAAAAACAAATAATTCAAGCTGTAATTCTTAGTGGGCTGTCTTTAATCTAGAGAATCTCGTTATACCCAATAACTAGGATGATAATTCCCACCTAAATACATTAAACATACATAAAGATTACTTAATTATCAATGGAATTTTGTATTCAATTTTATATAATTGTGTAACACAATTTCATGCAGATATAAAAAAATTAACATGAAAATTCAAACCTTTGTCATTTAGAAGAAACGCACATCAATCGTCCTGCCATCGATGCGGGTCCTGTCAAACATTTCTGAAAAATTCATTAAGAAAATCATTGCTGTTACATAAATTTTCTTCATAAATTGATCCAGTTGTTAAAAAACAAAACAACTGCCATTTTAGCTAAATCATATTTTCATTGCTTTATTATTGACAAAAAAACGAACATTTTAGTCGAGCGAATCTTAATATTTGGAACCATTCCAAAAATATAGTCATTTTTATGGAAAAAGAAAAACTTTCAAACTAACACTGTAGTGTTTACGGTTAAATGAGAAATAAATAATTAGTAAAAAATAAACTATAACAAACAGTAAACATAATTTTTTTTCCATTCTATAGGTACAAATAAAACGCTCAAATAACAGAAATTCACGGCAATTTTTCTCGAAACTATGAATTTGAAGTTGTTTAGTTTTCGAACGAAAGAACCTACATACCTTATAAAACACATGTTTTACTTCGTTTTAAAAAGTTAATTATACAATAATTCTAAAGGATACTGATAGCTCTCTCTGCGTCCCACTCCTTGTGGAAGCGCACAACGGCGGTGTCGGAGGCCGTCATCTCCGCGAACTTCACGTCGCCGCACTCGCTGAACTTCTCGCGGATCAGCTGCCACGTCACCGTCGGCGGCAGCTGCGAACCAACACAACAGCTAAAACTACACGACGTTACAAAAGCTATGTAATCATTAATTCATTCATTCATCCCTAGTAATGTAATCGTAACTAGCTCCTAAATAACCGGATCCAATATTGACAATTTACAAAATAAATGCTTGTTTGACAAAACGCCTTTCATTGTGAAATAGCAATACTAGTTATGATGAGCGCCTGTCGCTTTTTGAAGAGCAACAGCTAATAACTGGCATAAGAACATGCATTCCCTTCTGGCAAAATCTACTTAATTTTACTAGTAACACATAGTAACATATACAATGCTGCTTTTTACATTAACTTAATATAATATTTTTCATGTAAAACAAAAACAATGAACTAAAAGTAATTAAATGGGCGTAAGCAGAGTGAAAGGATTTTATTCTAGCATGAGATACACCTCAATCGCTTCTTCAAAAATGTTTCATACGAGAAGATGTTAGATTATCTTATGCTGCATTTACATTTTTCCAGTAAAACAGACCTGTAGTGCTCAAAATTTACAATAGCAGACAACTGGCATGTGGCAGTAAAGCTATATGGTGCCAGACTAAATCATATTAGACAATATAGTAAAGTTACAAAAATAATAATTAAAATATCCCTTACATTAGTAATTATCACCATATCAGATATTTTATCTCTTGAATTTTGTTCAGGTCTGGTATCTCTGACATAGTTCTGACTCTGGTGACTGGAAGCTGATGTGTTCACTACCTGTCTGTTAGGACCTGGAACGGGACCAAAACCTATTAAAGGAATATTTTACATTTCACTCATTAATAAATCAATTGTAATGAAGCGTCGATCATCCAAACTAATATAAGAGCTTATTTAGATATCTAAAAAAAATTGTAAAGTATGAAGAATATATCAAATAAGACTGAAAAATCTTGTAGATTAAACTATATTGTTTATAAGATTGAGGCATTTCTAAACAAGAGATAAACATCATAATGTTTAAAAAACCATACTTTTTTGTCATTTTTAAAAGAAAACTACCATTGTATAGATGAAGGCCAACTTCATCTTTGTGGAATTAAAAAAAAATTAAAGAAGGTAGTCTATATGTTCTTCCAGACTGTGTTAAGTCTGTCCTAAGTTTCATTAAGATCCTTTCAACAGTTAATGTACAAACTCTAACAAACATCCATCTAAACTCACACATTTATAAAGTTAGTAAGAAGATTCAACACAAGAAACAACATTCTTATTTGAAAACTACAGACTGCAGTTCGGATAATCGACGCTCTATAACAACATAACATACCTGATAATGGACCACTACTGAGTCCAGGGTTGCCAATCACATTGCTGTTCATATTTGTATTGGGCATCATGTTAGATGACATATCCGTTGTGTTCATTGCCATATTGTTTGTGTTAACATTTGCCTGCGCTGAGAGCACAGTCGCAAGGTCATTCGCTGTTAAACCTTGTTGGAGCAACTGATTCTGCAATGCTCCCAGACCTGTCAACCCTAGAGCCTGCAATGCACAAGTAGCGCTACAATTAGTATGATTGATGTTTGAAGTTTCTCAATAGTTGATTTAAAAATTAACAAAAAAGAAAACAGATAAGAAAACATGGATAAATGAAAATGTAATATAAGTAAAAAAATAATATTTGCAAGATTTAGTTCTTTATAAATAAAAAAAAAAAAATCTAAACATATTTGGCTACAGTTTATAAAGTTAATCTATGAAATTAATTTCTTAGAAAGAAAAATTAGCCCAGCACAAGTTAAAAGTTATGAAATAAAAAAAAAATCAAATATATTTCACCTTATTTAGAATTACCTGCAAGCTCAAGCCACCGCCGAGAGCGGTGTTAGGGCCAAGTGTGTTTGCAGGCAAGCCGGAGCCCAGGCCATTGAGTGCCACTCCAGCAGTGGGCACAGCGCCCAGCACTCCCGCCCCCAGAGGCGGGTTAGTCCCAGACAAACCTATGTTTGTTGTACTCTGTCCTTGGGGCAAATTCCTAGCGACATCTCTCAATGGCTCCCCGTTAGGTCCCAAACCTAATCCAATACCTTTCAAACCTTCCGGCAGCTTCAATTCATTTTTATCTGATGTACCGCGGTCCATACGGACTGTCATTCTGCGGTCATACAACATTTGCTTGTCAAACATTGAAATTGCCTGAAAATGTAATAATGTTTGAGAAAAACAAACAACAGAAAGAAAAAAATTTACAATAATCTTTTTTTTGAGTCAATTAGAACTAATCACTTTAAAGTACTTACTTAGAAAAAAAATAATTTTACCTGTACAGCCTCAACAGGATGATCATATTCAATAACAGCAAAGCCTCTGCTATTTCCATCTTTATCCACAGCCAAATCAATGTTATAAACTTTTCCCGCCATCTTGAATACCTCCTTTATCTTTGTGCGATCAGCTTTATAGTCCAACTAAACAATAAATCATAACACTATTAAATAATAATACAAAAAGCACTATCTAGAAATTTGCTATGACGCTTCTACATTGAAAAAATTGATATTTTCATCTATCATTCATTCCATTTCCGTAGTTTACAAAAAAAAAGTTTTATTACTATGCAATATTTTTTACCTCTAATTATTACTTGCATTTAAATAAAGAAATGTTAATAATATTCATACTTACATTTGCAACAAATACTTTTTTAACAAGGGGTGGTTGGACATTGATGGAATCCAAAAACTGCAGACTCAAGCCATATGTGTTGTAATTCTCAGACTCTCTTGGTTTACTTGGACCCCAACTAAAGAAACATGTATATTATTATATCTTAAAAAATGTATAAACTGCTTATTTCATAATAAGTCAGAAAAAAATCTCGACTCACTTGTCTTTTTCTTCTCTAGCATTCCTTGAATTTCCTCCACCAGATCTTGTGTTATTTCTAGTCCTATCATTATTTCCTGTAATACCATAATTTTATCAATACTAACATAATAAAGAAGTAAGTTTTGTATTTTTGGATTTTCGTGTGTATTGAAATAAATCAAAAACTACTGGATGAATTTAAAAAATTCTATGTTATCAGTTAGTAACATAGGCTATATTTTTACCCTTTATTAATTTTATGTGGGCAAGGTCAAGAGCAACAGTTAGTTCAATATTGAATCAAGTAATTAACAAACTTAGGACTAAGTATTGGGTTTGTCCATTATACCGGTAACACAGACCCAATACCACGTTTTAGCTATCACTCCCACGTTTTAGCTATCACTCTGTGGGGAATTCAAAAAAAAACAAAAGTAGATAGTCTATGTGTCCTATAACACTATGCTTTACATCTATGCCAAATATCATCAAGATCTCTTCAGCATTTAGGTGGCAAATTCTAACAAACAATGATTTATAATATTAGTAACATTATCCTCATTGCTTTTCTTACCCATTTCCTCTTTCAATACAAGTTTTCGTCCAAATAACTCATATCTATGCATAACTGATAGTGCTTTCTTAGCAGCTTCTGCAGTGGAGAATGTGACAACACCGCATCCCCGAGGCTTCCCATGATCATCAGTAAATAATTCAACAAATGCCACATCCCCTACCTGAAATTGTGCAAGTTTATACATAACACTGATTTGAGACAGAAATGTTTATTTTATGTAAGTTAATAAATCAATGAAGCTCATTTCCTGAATGTATCAATGAATCTTAGTAAGTTTATCTTATAGGATATTTTATTTATTATGTATTTGGTAATGCAATGTTAGATCTTGGAGATGCAATTGTTCACAATTACCTTTTCTTTAAATAAATCTTTAAGATCAGTCCATCGGTATTCGTAGGGAATATTTGAAACAAACAGCCGTTTTCCTTCCGATCGATCGCGGTCATTTGATCGATCTCTCTCAACATCTGAAAAGCGGGAAGGCCTGTCCCCACGCCTAGATCGGTCTCGTTCCTTTTCTTTTTGATTATCCATGACACTTACTTTGGAATAACCCCTCTAAAAATATAATAGAATTACGTTAAAACCTAACGTGTAGTTCACCGGCAGTCACGGTACACCGGTACGAAACAGAAGTGTTCAAAAAATATGTACATTTTAAAATATTCAAATTAACTCACCTTATGTTGTGGTTACAATGTATGTACTATGATTATACCTTTATTTTTAACAACACAAACGTAAAGCGGGAAACTTTTACAATACTATCAAAATGGCGTATTACTGTGTTTTTTTTATTTAACTCCGCTTGTTGATGACGAAAAACAAAATGGCAGATTGACAACTTTCAATGTTGCCTTTTTCGGTCATGAAAATGAAAAATTATAACCTTAAAGGCCGTAATACGTATCTTTTTCGAGCATCATTTATAACTTTTATTATATAATTTAGATACTTTGGTTAGCTACTTTAATTGAGCGTATGTGTTATCATAACCCATACAAACACGTAAGAGAAAGTCAGGTGTGTCAATGAAGATGCATTGCTTAACGTCTAATAGGTTTATTACGAAAAAACTCTTGGATGATTGAGTTCTTGATTTTTAAACAAACGTGCATAAGTAAAAGGTAAAAAAGTAACTCCTTATAAAACTATGTTTTGAAAATAAACAGTAATGTTTGTTGATAACGGAACATAGGTACACGATTTTTTCTCCAATAGCAACACAAAAGTGCGCTATCATTTTGTTGTACCACCAACATGTCAACTAGAATTTTAATCTGTAAGTAGAGTACACTGCAATGGTATATTGGATGTATATGTGTATTTTTCTCCCACGGCAGTGGCAGCGGCAATAGCCATGCAGTCAGACTTTGGATCTTTAAAATAGTTGTGAAAATATTTTAATGATGGAGCAGGCAAAAGTTAACATACCTAAACTTTTTGTGTGCACTGTTATTGAAAACAAGGATGAAATTGAAGAGGTAATGAGTACAAATTTGCTATTCCTCAACAAAGAATAATTTAGTCGGCCATGTAAAACGCAGTTTCACCGTAGTAGCGACGGCGGCGCTGTAGTCATAGCGCGAAATTTTAAATTATATTTAAGATAGTGGTGAATGTCCCCATTAACCTAACTTTTTGTTACAGAGATATGAAAGAGCGTACACTTTCTTGCAGTCTCTTGTAGCTGATTGTAGCGAGAAGGAGGCACACGATGCACTCAATAATGCTGTTTGTAAGAATCATGAAGACATATCACTTGGAATGCTCCTCTCTATTCTCACTGAACCCCACAATGCAACCAAATGTTACAGAGATCTAACACTTATCACTAGAGATGGATTAACATGCGTGCTCAACAATTTGTCAAACTTAATTCTAGAGAGATATTTAAGATTTCATGATACTACAAGGAATCAGTTATTATGGCTCATAAAAGAAATGATGAGGAATTCTGTTACAGGAGTAGATAATGTTTGTTGGAACCTAATGCGTTATGCATCAGGAGGAGATATAACACCAAAAAACATTTATCTAGTAGAATCTCTTTTAGATATTTACATTGAAAATAAAGCATGGTTGGAGAAATTTCCTGTCCTAATTTGCATGGTTGTATATACTTACTTGAGATTGATTGAAGATCACAATGTACCACATTTAATGACATTGCGTCAAAAAGAAGTCAATTTTGTAATAACTCTTATAAGAGAACATTTCACAGATGTTTTATCTTTAGGGCGGGATTTGGTGAGACTACTTCAAAATGTGGCTCGTATACCTGAATTTCACCAATTATGGCAAGACATTCTTACAAACCCCAGATCACTATGTCCAAATTTTACAAGTGTCTTACAAATACTGAACACAAGAACTTCAAGAAGATATTTACAATCAAGGATAACACCAGATATGGAAAGAAAACTAGTTTTTCTTACCTCTCAAGTTAGATTTGGACACCATAAAAAATACCAAGAATGGTTTCAAAGGCAATATTTAGCTACCCCTGAATCTCAATCACTTCGTAGTGATATGATAAGATTCATTGTAGGTGTTATACATCCAACAAATGAATTGCTATGTTCAGACATCATTCCAAGATGGGCAGTTATTGGATGGCTTCTCACTACATGTACATCTAATGTAGCAGCATCTAATGCCAAACTTGCACTCTTTTATGACTGGTTGTTCTATGACCCTGACAAAGATAACATAATGAATATTGAACCAGCAATCTTAGTGATGCACCATTCCATGAGATCACATCCAGCTGTTACAGCAACTTTATTAGATTTCTTGTGTCGTATTATTCCAAATTATTATCCACCATTTTCAGATAAAGTCAGACAAGGTATATTTAATTCTCTTCAGCAAATTATTGAGAAAAGGGTATTGCCCAATTTGCAACCATTGTTTGATTCACCCAAATTAGATAGGGAATTAAGGACAACTGTTAGAGAAACATTCAAGGAATTCTGCAGCAATAGCAATGGAGAAGGATGTTCTGGTGTCCGTGAAGAAGGTCTTGATGATTTGCCTAAGATGGGGCCAGATGAACCTGCATTTTCGGATGATGAAGACGAACCTCATAACAATTTACCTGAAGACACAGATGATGATGATATACCACTATCCGAAGTGAGAGCAAGGGAAAGACCAGAGTTGGCAGCAGCACTGCCATTACTTTTACGTCCTTTTGCTGAAACATTATTAGATGATAGATCTACAACTGCCACTAAAGCCTTCATTAATGCATGTGGAAGTCCAATGCCAACAGTGTCCGCACTTGCAGATTTGTTTGCAGCAATTTTGCAAGAAGCTCCTCCTGTCAAAATTACTTCTAATCCTACACCTACGGAACTAGAAGCTGTACTAGATTCTCCTATATTTGCCATGTTCACTTATTTGACCGAAGGAACAGAGGCAAAGCGAAAAATAGTACTAGATATATTTAAGGAGATCCATGTACAAAGTTCTTTTCAAAATGTAGGATTTTGTTTATTATTTTACCTGAAAGTATGTTACGAAAGAGATAGAAAGACAGAGCGAGATGCGGGAAGGAAAAAAAATGTTAAATTCAAAGTTGATGTATATAAAAATTACTGCAATCACTTAGAGACGAAGCTGGCTGACAATTTGGCCTACGACTTTGAAAAGTGTCAAGAAACTGATGCTAATCTACTGGTGTGGTTGATACCTGATATCTATAGAGAGTTCAAAGATCAAGCTCAAAACCACATTAAACTGCTGAATGTCATAGTTTCAACTTTGGATGCTGTTCAATTACAGCGCCTTGTGTGCCTTACACTGCAGGGCACTTTGATGATGTTCAAATCTGATGATATTACAACAATGCTTTCAACAAGTCTTGGATGGGAGACATTCGAGCAGTATTGTCTTTGGCAACTTTTAACTGCTCATGATATCTCCGTTGAAGATGTCTTACCAATCATTCCCAAATTATCTTATAAAGGTCATGCCGAAGCTGTCACCTCTGTCTTGTTAATGTTGAAGCAGGAGCGTCCAACAGCAGACGTTTTGCGACAAATGTTTTGTAGAACAGTGGATGATGATGATACATTTGTTGTCTCCACAATTATGTATTGGTGTCAGGACTTTGAAGACAAAGTTGGAGATTTGCTTTCAGTTTTATTAAGCACTCGATACCCTGGCACGAGTCCAAATAAAAGAAAACGCCCTGGTAAACAGAGTATACCTCCCAACGCACCACCTTCTGCTGAGCAAGTATGTTCTATTTTAGTATACTTTGGCATGACGTTTTATCCATATTAGTTAATTACCATATTGTATAATTTTGTATTTCAATACAAAAAAGGAAGACATTATAATTGAAGATATTTTTACTTTTTCCTCAAGGTTTTAGGTCATTTGGAACAAATAAGGGTACGTTGTGTGGAACAGAATGATATGTCTATTTTCAAAATGGAATGTATGCAAAAAGCTCTACAACAATCACAGTCCAATAGCAGTGACAGCTTACGAGTAAGCATTGTTTTAACATAAGATTTTAATATCTCTTACAGAGGTAAAACACATATTTTTCTCTTTCAGAGACAATACAGTCAACTGTTCTCTCTGGCATGGGAAGACGAACTACCAATATCAAGAAGAGCCAGAAAGTTAATTTCTAATTCTTTACCTCTTAATCAAAATTTACATTCCTCTAATGAGGATAGTGAGGTATTATTTATCATTCAATTTATTTCTCAAATCTCATCTCAAAAGTATAAACTTATCTATTACTAGCTGTTTCTTGCGACTTCGCCCGCGGGAAATTAAAAAAATAATGAAAAAACAGTGTTACTCATAGATAAATTACCTTTCTAATGGTGAAAGAATTTTTAAAATTGCCCCAGTAGTTTTTAAGTTATTTCGATACATACAAAAATACAAATCTTTCCTCTTTATAATATTAGTATAGATATGGTCTACCCAGAAATATAACAGCCTTTGTCATATTGCGAAAATATGGAAATTACTTTTTTGCGTAAGCGTAATAAAAAATTCGATTTAAATATTCAAGGCCCAGGAAATTTCATTATTAAATCTGTATTTAATACAACTTATAAAAAGTGATTATTTATTGGGTTTATGTTTCAGGAGGAAGAAATTGTGAAACCTAAACAGGCAAAGAGAAGAAAAAAAGCAATTTCAGACAGTGAATGACGAAACTTTTTTAAAAAGTTTGGTAAATTTAAAAGAAAAAGTTCAACATTTAAATATAATCAATTTTAATATTGATTATGTATAGAGGAAACTATGAGTTAGTTACCATATGTTGAAATAACCGAACTTGTTGCAGTACTGGTTTATGGATGTAATAATTAAATATTATTAATATTTATAACTACATGGAAATACTATGTTGGAGACACCACAAAAAATCTGATACTGTTTAATATATCAAAGCTCCTTATTTGGTTATGTAAAAAATTTCCTTGTACATAAAGTTACGTTAGGGCTATAACCGAAGGACAAAATAGATTCCTAGAATAACTACTGTGTGAAATAATTACTATATTAAGTGATGTAGTAACTTAGTGTCGTGAGAACAATAAAATCTTTTTATGTATATAATATTAGTATAGCTTTTATACTTGTTAACTGAGGTAAGTACATATTTTGTCAAAAGTTTAAACAGAGTTTTAATGTTAGTGACATAAGGTATATAACATAGAATAAGGAGCTTTGATTTAACATAAGTAATAATATAACTTAATTGCATATATGACCTCACTGAGCAGAATACTGTCAAAACTTATTTGGGCTGGACTGATTTTTTTACAATTCTACTTTGAAATTATCCCCTGTTAGTATTTTATTTAATTAATTAACTTTATTTTACAAATCGTTACTCAACAATTATTACTTTGCTGCATTTGCTTACAAAAAAATAATATTTGCACAAATGTACTTGGATGGTTACAAGGTATACATTTCTCCAAGAAATGTTGGACTATGTCCATATAAGTCAATCATCGAATGCATTGTAAATTCCTAGATCATTAATAGTTAATATAAATAATAGATAATTGTTGTATAGATCTTTAGTCCCCGAATTTTTTTTATGTTTAAGGACACGAGACCAACTGTATGAAAAATTGTATTAAATAACATTTTTTTAAAAATATTTTACAACACTAGGATCAATAAAATATTTTCCCTTTAGGTAGTTTTTATTTGGATTTGTATATTTTAATTTAGGACAACAAACATTACATATATTTCGATATTTCTTTATATTTCAACGAATGTTTCAAATGTGACTATTTTTTTTAAATTCCCTAGGAATAACATTGTGGTATTTATAGATTCTGGAGTTTATATCTTAAGGTCGAAATTTATTATTTTATTGTCTTAAAGACTATGTAACAGCCACTAACACTTTTTAATTTCCTGCAATTAATTTTATGAGTACATATCTTGTAATTCACATATTTTGCGATATAATAAATACAATGTAAATAATATGTAAAAATTTCTGCGTGAAAAAAGCGAAATTAGGTATTTAAACACTTAATGTAAGTTATAATCAAAATTTTATTTATTTTCCCGCCTTTTACACTGACCGTGTTTATGGCTTTTAATTTAGCATTTAAAATAATTACAAACAATAGTCACACATTATGATCAATTTGTCTGGTGTTATGTAGGAATGACTGGAAGCTTGCTTCATTATAAAGGTTTTTTGAAGTTCAATAGAAAAACTTTTCTGATAAGATGAAAAAAAACTGGTTGAAGAAAGAAAATGGACAGTTCAACACCCATCCAAGTAATATACATTACAAACATTTACTAAGGGTAAGGTAAAACATTCAAAAGAATGGCAAGTATCTTATGTCTTTTGTATATCAATAAAAACAACAAATTCTTACAATATTTCCCGTATTCCCATTACAACTAATGAACATTAATAAATCACTAGAGCCTTCCCTGTTTAAATCTCTGTCTTGCTTGTGCTTTGCTGTACTTTGGCTTCTTTTCAGGTTGAGCAGTTTCTTTATTTGCATTGTCACTTCCAACTGGAAAACAACACATCACACATAACCAATTTAGAATTTTTAAAAGGTGTTTGTTGGTTGTGTTAACTTGTTATTATTGAGAACTTAATATGACAACAGTGTCTTACTATTTCTTATTAAACTTTTATTCACAACTAGCTGCTGCCCACAACTTCATACATGCAGAATTAAAAAAAAAAATTAGCAAGTTATGTGTTCTTGCAGATAGTGTTCATATGTGCTAATTTTAATTGAAATCCTTTAGATACTTTGAGGATACATAGTAACAAACTTCCTTCCATCCATTAAACATTACTAATATAATAAACCAACAGTTAAGTAACAAAGGTGAGAACTAAAAAATAGAAGTTACCTAGATCCTCAGGTGGCTGGAGAGACTTGCCTGCACCCCATGTATTCATCAATGTTACAGCCTTTCCAATAGACCAGCCTAAACCTGCCAATGCTATTGAAAATGCAACCATACTGAAAGGATGCTGAAAAGAAAGATTTAATTTAATTCCATAGAATAGTAGGGTGACACGAAATTATCACATCAGAGGCCATATGAATATTTTCAAGGTCAAATGTTTCAGTGGCATTGAAAATATAAAATCTATTATTTTTCATATAGCACACAGAATACTGAACTGAGCCATATGTTACTCGACTTAAATACTATCTTTATAATGAAATAAAACATTTCTTCTCAAACTACAATAGTTATATACTCACCCCTAATGTTGGATTGGTTGTGCAACAGTAATCCAATATAACAACTGCAATACCAACAATGAATCCCAGACATGTGCATATCCAAATAGTGTTTTGATTGCCTGAAAATAAAGTAAATACAACATTTTATCTGACTGAAAAGGAGGAGTTTCTTAACCTATTTGGCTCCGTGCAGGCTGGTTTTTTAACATTAATGTACAAAATTTTATCATGACTTTTATAAATAAACAATGTTAAACAAATATTTTAAAAATTTATGGCTCCACAAATATGTATGGCAAGGCAGTTAAGTAAGGAATTACATAAATGGTTATATCCATGAAGACTTGCAAGTGCAGTATTCACAGAGTTTCTGTTATGTAGCCTTCAAATATGATAATGGAACTTCAATCATCACTAATTGTAGAAAGAATAGTGACAAAATTAAAGAAACAGTACCTCAATTTTTTTTATAATCAGTGATGGTGTAAAATAGAAAAATTAATAATACTTGTACTTACTTTGTATCTTTTGCTTTTGCGTGTCCGTTATATTTTTAATGGACTCTATCAGTTTCTGATTTTGAGGATCAAGTTTTAAAGCTATAGTGTATGAGACAATTGCTTCATCATACAAACCACTTGCTGCTTCAACTTCAGCACGTCGAAAATAACCCTATAAAAATAATAAGGAACATAATGAAAACATGCTAAAGTCATATTAACCTTATACAGTAATTTTCAGAACATACCTTTGCCCATTGCGGTTGTAATTTAACGGTTTCATTTGCATCTTGTAATGATAAATAATGTTGGTCCAGTTTCAAAAATGCAAATGACCTATTACTATACAAAACGTAATTGCTAGGGTCCATTTTAATAGCATGTGTATAATGTAAAACTGCCTCAATGAATTTCCCATCTTTTACACATTCGTTACCTTTGTTTTTAAGTTCTTCGACACTGAGCGTTTGAGGCTCTTTTTTTGATTCATCCATTTTACATAAATAGATTAGATTTTAATATAAATATACAATTGTAAAACTATAAGTCAATAAAGTACATTTAAAAGATTATTAAAATTATCTTGACCTCAATATGTACAAACCGATTGTCAAATTGACAATCATTTGACAATGACAAAAAAGCATCACAAATGGGACGATTCTCCGCAGATAACATTAAAATGGAGTACAAAACAAATAATTGTAATTAAAAAAGGTAGATAGGTACAAGTTTCAACTTACAAATACAAGTTACAGTAAAATAAAATGACTGGAATTCTATGAAAGATTACAATTTTTTGTTAAAATTAATATTGATTCTTGACTACACTTTCTCATTTCTCAGCATGCGTCAATGTCACGTTTAGATAGATTTGTTGACTTTTTACAATCCCTTGTTTTAATTCAAAAAACTAAAAGGTTACGCTTGTTTTGAATATCTTAGTATAGTTTTGCATTATTATTTGATCATTGAAAATGTTTGGTTTGAAATTGAAATATTTTTTAAATTTATCTGGGAAGGTTATTGTAAGAAATTTAAGAAATAGGCGGAGACCAGAGGTTACTGCTAACCCTGGATTGAATAAAAGAATACAAGCTTTTAAAGAGCAGGGAATTAAGATCGAAGATGATGATGCGGAGGAGTTTGTTGAAAAATCAAACAGCAATTTCTATAACGTGAGTTGGTCTGTTATTTTATTTATGTTATGATTTACAAGACATAATTAACTGTTTCTGTTCATCCAGGTTGGCGATGCCTACAACGATCATTTAAAGGAAACTTTAATAGGAAAACATGACCTGCAATACAAAATTGTAAAGGAGAAGTATTTTAAAGAGGATTTGCCTAATTTATTAACTTGGAGTGAAAAAGAACAAATCCGCCATCTCGCTACAACAGAACCAGATGAATGGACACCACAGAGAATAGCAGAATGTTTCCCTGTTACAGTACCAGTTGTAAAGGTATTGTTATAATAGTAATTTAAATTAGATAGGTACATGGTAATTGATTCTTGCAACATAACGATTTTCAACAGATTAATAAAAATTGGAGATGGAACAAATACATTTATAAAATGCATTAGTGTTATATCTCGATGTTTAACAATACAAAGCTGTTTCATCATACTTTTACTATGTTTCAGAAATTATTAAAATATCCTTGGAAGCCGGCCAATGAAGAAAGAATAGCACGACATGATGCATCAGCTATGAGAAATTGGCGAGAACTTAAGGAGGGAAATTTAAATATACCTGAGGACTTAAGTAAACACTTCTTAAAATTTTCTGAACGACAAATACCCCCTCTCAGTAAAAAATCAATAAAAGTTGACTTAACTCAGGCACAAAAAATAGGTGAGTTTGAACAGATTATACAAATGTGTGCTAAAAAAGATAATGTTGAAAATGATATAGAAATGCCAGATAACCAGCAAAACAGTAACAATGAAAAAAGTAACAAAAGAGTAGTGAAAGACCCGAGAAGAATGACATTAGAGGATTTAACTACAAGAATAAAGGAAAGGTTAGAAAGTGGAAGTGAGGTGAATACTCCAGATAGAATAATCATAGACACTGTAAGTACAGATAAATCAAAATTTGTAGACAATAAGGAAATTGATTTAATAAGTTATAAGCAAGAAAATGATTTAAAAGAATATAAAGAACCAGACAATAAATCAATCACATTAATGGAATATCCAGAACGAATAAGGATTCCTAAAAAAGCATACAAAAAAGGTGCCACATACAAAATAAATGATTGCTATTATGACCATGATGGAAGATTTTTATATAGGGTTTTAGGTTTATCAGAATAATTGAGTAAATGAAACATCAACATTCAAGCCTTATTCTTTTATACAAAAATTATATGCATTTTAATATAGTCCATTACAGTAAAATAACTTAAATATATTCAAGTAATATATTGCTACAGTACACATCAAAGTGATTGCATGTCTTTTATTATTATATTTTTACATACAATTGTTATTCAAGATATAAAAATACAATATGAGACCTTTAACATTTGTATTTTATATGAAACAAAAGATATGGCTGCAATGATCACAAATTAACTAAAATATAATTTTAAATACATCTTACGACATTTATGTTGAATAGTTTGCATTATTTGTTAGGTCTTTTTGAGTGTCACAGTATAAAGAATTTTGTACCTCACAAGCTTTCAATTCCTTTCTCATTTATTTTAGAATCCATTTTCAAAATAATGTTTGAATGTACAGTCATGGAAATCCATAGTGTTTCAATTACAGAAAAATTGTCTTGTTATTTACGACCAGACAAACTCTGCATTTTCTTACAAAAAAACAACAATGCTAGCCTGTGTGTACCAATGTCGTTCTTTTTTTTCGTATAAATATTTAAAATCTGAATATAGGGATTATTTTGTCATGTACAAAATATTCAAACTAATTTTCAAAGTGAAACAAAGCCAAATGTCCTGCTTGTACTAATAATATTCCTTGAGCTGTGGGAAAAGAATAGTGAATTTTAACAACAATAAAAAATATTACAATCGTGATGTGACTTAATTCTGTTAAAATATCTTTGAAATTGTTTTAAATATGACTGAAGTAGATTATAAGCTCTGATCACAATAGTAATATTATTAGGCCATAGTAAGTCTGGGGGCATGGCGATGCCCTCGCCGATGCTATAAGATTACAATATTAAGGACCTGTCCCACCACTGGTTGGATTGTAATCAGACAATTTACAATTTGGTGGGGCAGGCTCTAATCCATCATACTGACACCATTCTAGTGATTTAATTTTAAACTATATTTCCAATGACTTGATAAATAATACTTTCGACATTTGGCAATACATTAATTTGACCTTTTAGTCAAAGTTGATGAATTTATTACAAAATGTACTCAATACATGTAAAATAATTGTTTATTTTGCAATCAATGCTTTTTTTTACACAATACGTTACATGCTGGTTTTAATGCATTTTATCAATAAAAATTGATAATAATTAAATGATTAACATAATTTAATACTATATCATTAAATGGCAATTTCTGCCTATTCTAAACAACATTCACAATTATGTACACTTCGTTTTCAACTAATATAAATTTAAAAACTTCAATTTAGCACCCACTATTCAAAAATCAGCAAAGATAATGCATTGAAAAAATATTTGTAACTATGGGTTTTGACTTGTTTTCGTTCCAGGGTATATCAGTGTCGATACAAATGTCACTGCAATGGAAACTTACTGTTATTACTCATGCGCAGGTTTGCCGATGATACCCCACCAACACCGACGCGCTTACTCAATAGTTAACGCGTGACGTCATAGGGCAATCGGCAGTTGCACACGAGTAATATGCAAATACATTCCAAATTACAAAACGTTAAAGTTATCAAATTAATTTCCTGATTATCCGAGAATTAAAACATAGGATACATGTCGTTGTATTTTATAAGAATATTGAATTTTAAAACTATAAAAAATACACTAGCGATGATTTGATTATATTTAATAAGATATAATTAAAAATGTAATGATTATTTCGATTAGGAGTATAATAAATAAAAATAAATATGATAAAATAAATTTTCGAGTCTTTAAAAATTAATGCTATGTTGCTATGTGTGATTTACAAATTATTATTCAAAAAGTATTTATTTCAGAACTTTTTAAATGTTTCTGTCTTTAATTTAAATGACTGTATTCATGGCAATATAAAGATACAAATCTTTACTCCGCAGCAATATTTTGTTATCCTTCAATGATAGTAAATTTGCATTTGCATATTAAAAATTTAATACTTATTTGTCTGCTTTTGAAAGGTGCACAAAACTCGTTAAAAACCTTTAAAGTATATTGCTTGTTAATTATAACCACAAATTGGGGCAATCTTACTTGAATCTAATTTAGGCCAATATTTATGAAGTTTTAGACTAAGAAAGCGTCACGCTGTTCGTACAAAGATAGGCAGAGATAAAGCACAAACATGAGTAGAACATATTTTCTTCTTTTTATCTCATCGTATTTGCAAAAACTTGCTTTTTATTAAATAAAATTTGTCTTATATATTTTTATACTCATGATGAGAATAAAGTGGATAAGTAATCTGATGTTTTTGTTACATTTTCCTTTTGGTATTGTTTTAATATTTTTGAAAAATTATTTTAAAGAAAACTTTTTTTAAGCATACAAATAATATGCATTGTAAAACTGTTATAACTAATTTTAAAAAGCTATTTTTTATTTGTAACATAGCCCGAGTATTTGTTTTGACTGATTAGTAAATGTTGAATGATCGCTTTTTATTGGCCTATTCAAATTATATCGGCTCGGAAATACTTATGGACGCGAATTTGTTTTATAATAAGATCCGCCATACTCTACATGCCTACATTTAGTTATAAAATAGTAATTAAAATGTAAAACCATGGTGACATGCATAACAGTTAATATATACCTTTTAATAGGAGGCTTTAGTCGCCATACTGTAGGGGTCAGCAAACAAAAATCAAAAGATTTAGATTGTGGTAGTCCAATAAGTAAGGCGAGATGGGGAGAGACTTGATAGTTGAGTTTCTTGTTTATGGCATTCCCTCGGCGGATTAGGCCAGAGTCGAGTTAGACTTGACAGGGGAAAGACATGTGAATGGTGAGGTGTCTTTCATCCAGTATTAGTTTAATTAGTTTTTAGAGATTAGCTTCAGATACTGATTATAAGTGGCAGGGGAAAGTCATTAGTCAACAGGCGAGATACATTTATATTCCTCACTATGTAAGGTGGTTACACATGGCTATTTGCAGAGGACAGACATGTGTCGACAGGGGAGAGACTTTCGACGGGGTAAAGACATGTAAGATATAATAGTGGACTATCGCGCGAGTGCTAGCCGCTTGAAGTAATGCCGGCAGCAAAGCGCGGTGGGCGAGGGCGGCAGGTCGGTGGGGCGCGCCTCGCCGCCGAGCTGCTCCAGCGCGCGCGTGTACTCGCGCTGCAGCGCCACCAGGTCGATGTTCTGCTCGCCCAGCGCCCACATCGACAGGAACACTATGTCTCTGTAACACATTTATATACATTCTAGCTTTCGTCCGCGACTCCGTACGAGTGGAATGAAAAGAAAATTAATAGTTTATGTTTTCTTCCAAACTATCCTCTGCATTTATGTCAAATTTCATAGCGATCTGCTCAGCCGTTTAGGCTACAAACTAACATACATACATCCATCTATACTTTTACATTTATAATGTTAGAAAGATTTTACTTGTTTCTCATAATTTAAATGTCTTTGAACGTCAGTGACTAAGCGGTTTCACTTGATATGTAAACTGCAGGTTTTGGGTTGGGATCTCATACTAAAGCGCATAAAAATAATCAATTACAGTTAGACTTTAAAAATAAAAACCCTCGTAATATTTCTTAAATATATGGAATTAAGTCCTTTGCACCATTTAAAAAGTGATGTAACAAAGAAGCCGATTGATGCCTCTCATGCCAAGACTTTTATTTTCTTGGTTAAACTAGACTAGTGTTATATATGTTACTTGGAGAGGTTACGTACCTGTAAAATGATGGGTATCGTTTATTAGGGCTGGAGGTCTCGCGCCAGGCGGCCAGCTTGCGCAGCGCGTCCGACAGCTCGTTGCTCAGCAGCCCGTCCAGCACCGCCAGTATTACCCTGGAATATCCCACAAAATAAATTTAATACAAATATAATAATATCAATAACAAAGAAAATATATACAAATCTTAAATTTTGAATTTAAATTAGATATGTTTAAGACACGTATTTTATTTTCATTATACGTGCATTATTAATTAATCTTATTTATTTCGATTTGAGATCTATAACCTTTGTACTAAAAAGAATTATTCAAATATATACTGTGATTGCTACCTTTCGCCCGCGCCTCCGTCCGCACGGAAGTAAAAAAGATTAAGTAGCCT